AGTTATTTAAGACAAAACCAAGTTTTTCGATTACGATACGAATCATTTCGAAAACATGGGTTGAAGAATGACAAGTTAGCCCTTTATTGCTACTAATAGGGCCATAGACAGTAACCAGTTAAATTGAGTAAATTGCAGATTTAGCAAAATTTGTCTGACCTACTGACATGGCAGTTAATTAGTGATCCGACAAACACCGCAAACCTGTCGATGTATGCATGGCTGAGTATTGAGTCAAACGAATAGTATTGAGTATTGAGTCAAACCGTACGAATATGAGTCGAGTTTATTACGCGTTCGGAACGAGTTCAGGCGCCGTGGAGCGCATAGGGAGTAGGGATGTAGTGTCTAGATTAGTCGGCCAATTAGTAGACAGTGGAGTGGAGTTCTGGTAAGATATTCCTAATAATACTAAAGCTAGTATTAGATTTAAGATTATCTTTGCCTTTAGTAAAATTTTGTGCTACGCCTTCAGGAAATCTTCACAATTGCGCAGTTTCCTGAATTGTTATGAAACACTTGGGCTTTTTTAACGTTATTTAGAAAGGATACACATGGATATTTCGAGTTCTTTTTTGAAGATGAAACTATTATATTTTTTCCAACTTAAATTTTGTTGTATTTAAAATGTTGTTGATATTTCTTTCCAAACCTTTTGTTGAAGGAGATTGCTTAAGGCAAGATCGATGAATCTGATTCTGTGATTGAGCTGGAGGCAAATCAAAGTCTGTCCAGTCAACCGATGTCACCAGCTACAGCTAGTATGGCCTCCTCCAAACCATCATAGAACACAATTTTTGAAAAAAACGTGTTTTTCCATTTTTATTTGCCTGTCAAGATTAAGTACCATATTAAACCATAACATGTATTCGTAACAAAAATCATTTCAATTGCCGAGCTCCAATCAGAATAGTAAAAGGATACGTCTCAAGTTATATAAATGCAGAGGTGAGCAGTAGCGCGCTACATGTAGCGGCCGCTACTAGCGGCCGTTACATTTTCAGTAGCGGTAGCGGCGCTAAATTTAAGCAATTTTAGCGGTAGCGGTAGCGCCCGCTACATATTTAAGTAGCGATACGAGGTTTTGCCGCTACAGCGCTACCGCTACATTTATAGATAAAGCCTTTAGATTTTACTTAATAGTATTAAATATTATTTAAAAACCAGCATGATATATACATAATATAAATTACAGAATAAAACTGTACGAAAGATTTCGGTGTAATGTTATCAACCTCAGCCTGTTACTAGTGTCAACATGTTAGTTGTTACGAGAGGTGGGCAGTAGCGCGCTACATGTAGCGGCCGCTACATTTTCGGTAGCGGTAGCGGCGCTACAAAGCAATTGTAGCGGTACCGCCCGCTACATTTAGAGCATGTAGCGGTAGCGGCCACTACATTTCAAAGTAGCGCTGCCCAGCTCTGTATAAATGTATGATGGTAAGCCAAAGTTTACACATCAATAATTGATTCGTCTCGTTATGTCTCGTTAAATTGGCTATAAATTCCGGGAAATTTTAAGGTACCTATTTGAACCGGGATGTCTCGTCTCGTCTCGGTATCGTCCCGGAATTCCTACGGAGGGCTGAAAATTGTCCCGGTTTTTATTTCGAACCGGGACAGAGCCTGTTGTCTCGTCTCGTCTCGGATAAAAAAAAATACCAAACGCAGGAGTCTAGGAACAGCCTCCCTGATAGCATCGTTGACGCTCCGAGTATGAACATCTTCGAAAAACAGACTATAGCTATGCAGGAGCATATGTTCAGTCTTAAAATGCCCAGCAAATTACGGACCAGGCAATAAGTCCAGCAGCTATCTCTATCAATCGTCAGCTATGGAAAGATCGGGTTCCAAAGGCCGGATCCCTTGTGAATCAAGTCACGAAAAGTTCAAGAATCGGCAACAGGCCATGGGCCTATTTCTTCAACGCCGACACTTCTATTCTATTTTATGTTTTCACATTACCGAACATCAGCTTTTGAAGCTGTGGCAGATAAAAGTATCTTGACTAACAAGTGGCTATATTGATCATCAAACTAACAGCAAGTGCAATGTGCACAGGTTACAGAACTAAAGTCAATTTAATCATATACAACATCAAAAATAGTCTAGAAATCCAACATTTAATTCGTACTGCAACAAATACAAACAGAGAAATGTCCAGCAGGCAATCAAAGAAAAAAAAATGAACTTAGCCGACTTCATTGTAGAAGTTACACAAGCAGTGGAACGACTACTAATGATTAGTTATCGCAGATCATATATAGAAAGAAATATAATAATCAAAAAATTAAATTACGACAGTGTTGAGTTGATAACCATTGTGCGATGGTGTGTTACTAAACGAGCAATCATAAACGGAAAATGAAAATTAATATACCGCACGCATTACGATCTCTGTCAGGCCGAAGATCGAATGCTGAACAATCAACAAACGAAACAAGAAAATAATGCAGGCTCCACCAACAACGTCTGGCAAGGCTCGTGAAATTTTACGAACTCAGTATGAGCATGGCGGTTGTTTTGCCAACATTATTAGGAAACGCCGTACTTACAAATTCACAAGCGAAACGCGAGAACGACGTCCGTGAAAAAACTATATAACTCAAGGAAACTGACATTCCTTCAAAATACGATTTAGAGATCACATATAGCCTCGTTTTATTAGAATAAGTATGGTTTTAGACAATTATTCGTTACAACTAAGGTACGTGATCAATTGATAATGATGAATTACCACGGACACCACTTTCGATAAAGTAATTTAAAATAAAATCTACTGATACCTTGGCTAACCAGTAACCACTCACAGATTTCACTCAAATGCTGATAGTGCAAACGAGAAATTTAAATGCATCTAAGGTGCCATTTCGATTCAACGCAGACTTGTAAAGAAAATGTTGCGTAGTCCAGTTTCATCGTCAGTTCGTAAAGTTTGGCACGCAGATACAGTCATTCAGTTGCAGTTAGGACAGTCGAAAATCAAAAAATAAATGTTGACACCTCAATATACGAATAATAGACTAAAAAACGAAAAAAACAGGTAAAATCTATTTATTCATAATTACATATGGATACGAACTACCGGCGTCATTAAAATTAGGCTTCTGTTTATAAATATATAGGGATTCTAAAATTAGCAGCACTGGAGATAAGAAGTAAAGTTTCAGTCGCTATTGAGAAATGAAATATTTCACCGAGGGGGTCTATTCCAACCCGAGTATTTGCCCGATTGAACATCAATTATTCTTCTAAGTTTGCTAAGTATGAAATAATTTTAAGGCTGAAACTTCAAATAGAAGATTTAGCCGCATAAAAGTATTCAAATATTGTTAAAAGTTATACCACGGCTGTCTGCGCTGCGTCATTAGAAAAGTACAATGCTCAGTTACTGGCAATAAATATAAATAATATTCAAGTTTTATGATTTCTATATTCCTACCTTTTCGATCGATTTTAATGCAATTTTTATTGCAAATCGCAGAGCAATACACAAAAAAAAACCGTCGAGACAATCGTTCGGGTTTCATCACCCTTGGCTAAGGTATATGGTTCCACTTACTCAATCCGCTGACAAATTTTGTAACTTTGCTTCAGAGGTTACCCAAATTGTACGTTAATTGTAAGATATTTTTTGACTCATATTCAACTTGTTATTGACTCTCGGGAATTTTCTTACACACCTAGGTTCGTTTCGAATCTCTATTGAAAATTTATTTCATTCGTCATAATTAATACATGATGATAAATTAATGTTGCATACAGATGAATGGTCGTTTAACCACCTTACACATAGTTATGCACACTTCCGGTTTCTTAATAGGAAGATAGGCGGGTCAAGTTAGGGGTGGCCGGTCATAAGCTGAACAAAAATTATATGATCATATTAATAGAGAATGTTCAAAGATGTGCAACAAGGATAATAGTTCCAGGCTTGAAGGGCAAGACCTATGAAGAAAGATTATGGAGCTTCCTAGCCTCAGTTATCGACGTCTGCGTGGGGACCTCATTGAAGTATACAAGTATACTCATGGTTTATAAAAGGTCCCCGAACTCGAAGGATTACTAGAATTTGAAACAAGAACCAACACCAGGGGCCACGGCTATAAACTAAAAAAACTGCGCTGCAACTTCTCCATGCGCCAACATTTCTTCTCGCTTCGAATCACCGACATGTGGAACAGCCTCCCCGATGACCAGTCTTAAAATGCCTAGCAAATTACGGATCAGGCAATAAGTCCAGCAGCTATCTCAATCAATCGGGAACGCAGCCGTGCACCACAAATTTTATACACCAATAAGCCCTGAATCGAACGCCTTTTTTGTCCGAGACGTACATCCACGGCCCAAAGGCCGGATCCCTTGTGAATCAAGTCACGAAAAGTTCAAGAATCGGCAACAGGCCATGGGCCTATTTCTTCAACGCCGACACTTCTATTCTATCGTTGGCGTTCCAAGTATGAACCCATTCAAGAATAGACTAGATAAAGCTATGGGAAAATATATGTTCAGATTTGAAATGCCTAGCACCATATCGAACCCGAAGGAAGTCGAGTAGCTATCTTAAACTATCGTCATTCGTCAGTCATGTAAAAATCCGGTCAAATGACACGATTTTAGATCTTCTGCGAACAAGGCACGAAAAGTAAAAGAATCGGCGATAGGCCACATCGGGCACATCAGGCCTACTGCCGCTCGTAACTGTCAAAATAGAAGATTTTAATTGTATGTTGAACACAAAATAAACTACACTTCAGCGCCGAGATCACTATGTTATGTTATATTTGCATATTCAAATGCTTTTTGTGACACATTCTGCTATATACATTTCCTGTGCCTAGATAATAAAAATAACAAAATATTCGTTCGTGTTCAAATATACAAATAAGTTCAATTGATCAGAAATGTTAGGAAACCTTATGGAGTAATCTGACATTTACTATACCAAGCTTCGTGCATCTCGCACCGTTGTGGACTCTGTCGAGGGACAGACATTCATTATTAGCCTTTGCTGCCTTTAGCCTACCGCAGAAATAGCCGTTGCTCTTGCTCGTTCGGTATCTAGGTAACTAAGGTAAGCTTTTCGACTTCAGTCCCATTCCGGTTGAGCCGTCGAAGTGCGAAAAAATATGGTGTTATTCCGTTGTGATAATTTTGGTTAAGCAAAACCGTGAGGACAACTGGACAAGTTTCGAGAAAATTGTGTTTAATAAAAATTTGATGCTGAGATTTTGTCAGTAATAAGAAGCACAATGGACTACAGTGCAATGTTTTATTGTGCAGCTCCACAGACCACAGTCATATTTGCAGAAGCTAAATGTCATTCAGAACCAACAGTCCAAGCCTAAATCTCTCAGAGCAGATGTCAGTTCCTCATCAGAAACATCTTCCCCTAACGGCCCAATAACCCCAACTGCAACTGATACAGTCTGATTTACTGGAAGGCGGCATTTTGCATTTGACATTCCAGGAACCAAGTTTTGTCACCCTCAAGGTCACCCTGTCTGTCCAACACCTCCACTCTGCTCTTTGGAGTTAGGTATCACACCCTAATAATGAAGGGAAGATCACAGCCTCACAGGACTTGCTTGGTCCAAAGTTTGGGCAGTGGCACTCCGGCAGGGTAATAAGGGACAGTCCTCCAATATTTTGTAGAAATGTTGTAGCAGCTAAACTTATCAAAGTATTGCAAAACTAAATATAATGGTGTAAAGTTACCTATTTTTATGTAGCATAAAGCAAGTTAAGAAATCATACATTAATTACTTCTAAAATATCCCTGAAAAAAAATGTGAAAAGTGAGATTTTGGAGAAGTACCAGGTACCTAGTAGGCTAGTACCTCAGCTAAGGTCTGTAGCAAAAAAAATTATTGTCATATTAAAAAATTTTACTTACATAAAAGTTGCACACTGGTGTTGGCTCAAAAACATGATTGACAGAATTTGCGTATCTCATTAAAAAAATAATGGTGGCCATTCTGATGGGGCAATAAGAAACCCCCCCAGGGTAATTAGGGACACCCCTTAAAATGCATTTACAGTAGAACCTTGGTTAGCAAAGGCTCCATTTAACAAAAAATCAATTAACAACAAAGAATTTTGATTACATTTACCTCTCTCAGTGAAAAAAATCACTTGATGAAAAATTAATGCATCATCAGTCATCACAAAATTGTGCATAGAATGTCATAGAAAGAATTGTGCTATTTGTGCACCAGACAACAAAGTATGTAAAGTAATTAACCTGAACTATAATTCATTTCTCCAAAAAACATGATGGTTGTCACTAAAATATTCCTTCCTGTTTCAGGTGTTTTTATGATCTTTTTTGTTATAGTGATATCACTTGACTCCATTAAAGTTGTGTGAAATTACAAGCTGTCCTGTAAGCTTACAGATACAGAAGAAATGCTACATGGCTGCTGATATGAAGCTTGCAATACACAAGGTTATTGTCAATGCTCAATGGCATGTCCATGGATACTGTAATATCACATCAATAATGTGGTAATGTATGAATGAATAAGGGAATATAATATCAATAAAGAAAAAACAAGTAAAAAGCACAGAAAATGTCATTCATTCTACATCTTCATCATCTACAAAGGAAGAGGAGGACTTCAGAGTACTGTTAGTAATGGATGAGTACACTCTGCGTGCTTCAAACATTTAAAAAAATTAAGTTTTCTTTCAAGTGTCTCCTATTACCCCATTCCCAGATTAATTCTGGAGGCTTTTATATTACGTCTAGCACCTTACAAATAGCATATGGAATTTTTTTGGCGATGCGATACAATAGCCCTTACAAAGACCGTTAAAATGAGCCCAAACTTGTTCATGAAATGTTTCATGGTAAGAAGTTATTAACATAAAATGCTCAAAACTGTCCCTTATTACCCCGTTTGACAGTATGCTTAGCTTAGCAGCAAAGCCTAATTTGACAATGTTGCTAAGATCAGGATTTTAGGCCAGGTGTAAAATGTTAATAGCATTGTTGAAGATTTCTTGGGGGCCTGCTGCGAAATTATAGTGAAGACAGGCTGTTTTTCAATCTTGAACTGTCTATAGTATTAATATGTTGACAATTTTCCCACTATGGTTGAACTTCTTAATATTGAGAAAATTTGCATGCTATTGTCTCAATGAATGCGCTTTATCTTTTGAGATTCTTTTCAGTAACCATTGCAGAATATAATTTTAATTGATATTATATTGAAGACTTTTGTTTAGATTCAAGGTGACATGTCTGAGTAGATCTATCTTAGAATACTTGTATACATGTTTGCTTTACATGGTTATTGCAAATTAAATTTTTTTTATGTAAGTATCTATGTATGTATGTGTAAGTTAGTGATATGCCTGATTCCTACTGAAAAACTATGTATATGTATATATATTTATATACTACTGTATCATATTATATAGAATTGTGTTCTCCTATTTTTTTGCATCAAAATAAGAAGTAATTATCTGTGTCCATAAAGGGTAATTCCTTTGTAATTTAACAACAAAAATGAAAGCCAATATGCATATACTATAATGAAAATTTGAGTTCAGAATTACCATAGTCAATTACATATTTATTGCACTTATGCTATGGGCTGTACTATGACATTGATTTTGTCTCTTCCCATTAGCTGTCCTTTTGCTATTCCTGTTGCTCAAACATTTCTGCATCAGGTCTAACTAGACTAATATGAAATGTAGAAATGCCTCTATGATAAAAAAGTGATGTTATCAAGGTTATGGTTATTCAAGAAAATATATTAGTTTACTAGATCAGAAACTATTCAGTTTTCCTAAAATTTGAAATCTCATTTACAAAACTGTCAGCTTTTATCTAGTTAATCTCACATGTGTGTCTGCTAACTCATAATAAATTACTCTTCCATTTATTTTTATTTAATTTTTTTTTGTGCCTTGACAGATTTTCACTGTTTGATTAAGTAATAAAAGAGCTTTGTAGTCTGTTTGGGACTTGTCATAAAAATGGCTGATCCAAAGTATGCTGGACTTCCAGGAATTGTAAGTAAATTTATCCACTTTTGTTCTTGTGCATTGATGGACATTACTACCACCATTTGTAAAAATCAATTTTAAGGCATAAAATAATTTGGTTGGTTTTGCTGAATTTAATTCTCGAATTTCTATCCCCTCTTCAAAGCTTATGCATATCAGTTTTTTTTCTTTTTAGGTGTATGACCAGCCAGATGTCTATGAAACTAGCGACCTACCCGAAAGTGAGCAGAATGAACGTGATGAAACACTTGAAGTCAGCGACGCTGTTGAAATACTGCATATTTCCACTAAAGAGGCCCACTGCAAGTTTGCTGACAAGTTACTTGATGCTTCCCGAGTGGATTTCTCTGATAGAATATCTGCAAAGCCTAGGACAGGCTATCAGGCAAGGTATATGTATATTATTTTTGCTGTTTGTTAAATAATAATTTTATATTCTTTTTAAAACACTTCTCTTTAACTTTACTTCTTGTTGTTTGTTTGTCTGTCAACTACAAATCTTATAATCAATATTTAACACACTTCCACCGTCCAATCGATTTGCAATTTTGCCCACTTGCATAAAGTCCACGACAATCCATGCCAGAAGACAGACAATGCTTTGACAGAATTAATAATTTTGAAAATTTAAATTTTTCTAGATTATAAAGTTTTTTAAATTAAATTTTTTTAATATTCAAAAATTAAATAATAAATTCATTGTACATGTGTAACATCAGAAACACTGGATTCTTTAGAAGTGTTATCTTTAAAAAGTAATTTTTAAACGCATATTATTCCCAGGCTAGTACATTATTGTTAATTTGAACTGCATTCATATCCTGCTAAGTCTTCCCTAACTTGAAATCTGCTTGCCTTTTTGCAATCAATTAATATAAGATCAAAGTCAATTACAAATTTTCCAGTTCCTCAGTCATTTTGGTTCATACTTCAACAATTGTTATTAATGCTTCATTAGAATATTGTTCCAATGTGAATACCTGGTAATTTATTTTTATATGGCAGAATTCAACAATATTATGTTATCACTCTACACAAATTTTCACATCAGACGAATTGAATGGGATATTGCTGGTGAGTCAGATGAGAAGGAGACCATTGTGCAGCGCTACAACCGCCTCATGTGTGAAGTAAATCAGCTACAAGAGGACCTACAGCAGATTAAAGATTCGGTAGTATAAACCACGATAAGAATATATATTTGTCCAACAATGATACAAAAAATATTATAGGCTTGAGGAAATTATAAATATTTTTTTCCTTTTTGGCTAGCTTTTTTGTTCATCAATTGTGGCTCAATAATTTGTAAAATTAATTCTAATATTATTGTCAATAGTTTAAATGAGATTAAAACTTTTTTCAGGGTAAAGAAGAGATTCCATTTGATGGCAATGAAGCAGAAGGAAGCCAGGCAAGCACTGTCTCAGCAGTTCAGCTAGAAAGGCAGGTGGAGCAGCTGCAGTCCCAGCTGCTTGGTGTGCAGCTGGAGAAGCAACTGGGTTCTGATGTGGTGGAGGGCATTCAGAACCCTCCTTTAGCTTCCTACAAGCGACTCACGGCACTCATTGAATCTCTTAAACACGTTAAAGTTAGTTGCCTGAACTTCAACATATACCTAGAAATTTTTTCAGCAAAGGTTGCTCTGGTATATGCTTGTAATGTTAAAGTAACAGTCTAAGTCAAACTGCAGCTTTTTTGTACATTTGTGCGATTTTTTTGTGTTGGCTATCATTCATGTGATGATAATATGAAGATAGTACCGGTATATAGGTACATGTGAAAGACATTTAGTTGCCTCACAGTCATGCTGTAACCTGTACACCTGCAACTTTTGACTTCATTTTTTATACACGTTACAGACTTTTGTGTAGTACCTTTCTAGGAATTAGTTAAATTGTTACTTCATCATTATTATGCTATTGCCTCAAATTTTATTCAACGAAATTTTAATTTTTACAACAATGTGATTAATTTTCATCTAATTTTGGTTTTACTTGTCAATTAATTTCAGAACGCCGGCACCACGAGCAGCTCAACTAAAGCTGGCACCTCTAAGACATCAGACAACGAGACTAAACCCAGCGACATTACCTACCAGCTCTTCTATTCTCCTGAGGTGGCCAAGCTTAACCAGCTCGGTCCTGCTCTGCAGCTTGAAAAACGGATCGATCGCCTAGAAAAACTGCTCGGCAACGATCAAGAAAAAATGGTAGTAAAACATTTTCATTATGCATGCTTGAAATGTTGGCAAGCATACAAGTCCTTCTGCAGTAAAACGTTCCATAAAATAAGGAATTTTAATGGTTCAAGTCTTAATCGTCATTTTCAATTAACTTGTTATTTCATGTTTTTCAATATTTCTGTTAAGATAACCAAGCTTCACCTAAAAAACTTAGAAGAACTGATTATAAAGGTTAGGCTGGAATATATTTTTGGATGGTAAGACGTGTTACGATTATTTTTAATGATTAAATTCCTCGTTTATTCGTCATTTTCTTATAATCAACATTATTATTTTTGTTCAACATTATTATTTATTTTTTTTTTTTTTGAAGCAGAGCTTGCTGGTTATATGATCGTTCTCATTTTATGTATTTAAATTGAAAATATACTGTATTGTGCTTGAAACATATAACTATGCAGGTTATACCTAGCAGTAAAGCATATTCGAACAGTGCATGCCAAATTAGTGCACAATATAACATGTAAATTAAGTGCATTGTAATATCCAGAGTCGGCTGTGGTCGTGGACGCGCGAAGGCAGCGTGCTGGGCGCCGTGACGGCCCTGGGCCAGCGCCTCGCCTTGCTCGAGCCCGCGCAGCTCGACCACATCGAGGGGAGACTGCACGCTGTCCACACCAAGATGAACGCCATCGCAGAGAAAGCCGAGCAGTCGCCCGAAAAGGACGCTAAAGTACGTGCAATGCCGCGCTGTAGCAACAGATGTGAATCATGTGCCTATTTATTATTATTATATAGACCGATAAGGACGCTAAAGTACGTGTAATGACGCACTGTAGGCGCAGATGTGCATTATGTGCCTATTTATTACTATTGTATAGACCCATAAGGACGCTAAAGTACGTGTAATGCCGCGCTGTAGGATCAAAAGATGTGTAGTATGTGCCTATTTCTTATTATATCGCCCGATAAAGATGCTTAAGTGCTTGCCTCGCAATGCCGCTTTGTAGGCGCCTAAGATGAAAAATTTGTGCATATAATGCATGTCGTATTTACTTAAGTTAAGAAAACATTGTGTCAAGATTATCCTTGTAAAATTTTGTGTACTCTTGACCGAAGATTTCTTCCAATAAGGCTCTCTGTCACTAGAATAAGAGACTTGACATAATAAGACAGTACCATAATAAGGTACAAGACTGAAGACGACATATGTTAGTCTTCACTTTCTGTGACTCAGAATCACTTGCAAGTAAAGGGGTACCTAGTTGTAGGCTTGGTTAAACTCGAAATATTCAGGGCGGCTCATTTTCCTTTTACCATGTCAAACAATTATACCATGCCCCCTCAAAACATGATGAATAGTCGTGCAATTTTCTTCCCCGCTCGCGTTAAAGAGTTGAAATATTATTGTTATGCGTTCCCGGTCACGGAACACATAACAATTGGAACAGGAGTCACGGAAGTTCGTGCATTTAAGCTCCCATACTAGAGACATGGATATAGATTGACCATGTGGTTGCCGGCGCAGGTGCACGAACTGCACGAGCTTATGCAGAAGTGCGACGTGATGTGCTGTGCTCTGCCTGAGGTGGTCGAGAGGCTCGTCGCGCTACAGGGGCTCCACAGCGAAGGTACGTTCACAATCAATGAACTTGAAGGGTTCACTGAATTTCACAATCTATGAAGGTACTATCAAAACTTGCTAAATGAAGGTAGCCGCCTATTACTCGTCTGTGATTGGTGGATCTAGTTTGAATTGAGGTCAGTTGTTGATTGACAGAGTTCATACTCGTAAATATTTCACGTAATTAGTCCCCAAAAGCATCAGTGTGGATAAAAGATGTTTTTCTGTAATGCGAGTTCCCAAAGTTTTGGAATTACAGGATACATGCTCATGTTATTTAACCAACTATGAACTGAGAAAGGGACAAAACTTCTGGCCCATGCTGACAAGCTAACAACATGACAAAATATCGCCATTGTAATACAAGTTGAACAAATCCTAAACATTGTTTTGCATCCCGGGTTTTATTCATATAAGGATAGAAAATTATTTACGAATTTATCTGAGTAATTTATTTTTGCAGCATCCCAGTTCCGCCGCACGCTGCAGCAGCTCGAGGTATCGCAGACTCAGCTGGCATCAAGCCTAGGAAACAATGAACAACTCCTGAGCTCCGTGAACGAAAAGTTCGCTGATAATCTCGCTGTTATCAACGACAACATTGCCAGCCTTGACGCCCGGATAGAAGCACTCAATAAGGCTACAAAGTGAGGTTTTTGTATCAGGTATTAACCATATCCGGCAGTGGGCGCTCATGCAATCTCTTATTCTATTCTACGTTCCTCTCATTATATTGATGGCTTTTATCTTTTCACACGAGTACAGCATAATCTTCACCTTAAGTACTACGCGTGGTTATTCGTTGCTTGCTTCATCATGTAGAGTATAAGTACTGCAGCTTTAACTAGATCATTTCATTGTTTTATCAACACCAGATCGACCTTAGTAGAGAAAAGTTTATTGAGTAGGTGAAAATAAAGCAAAACTTGATCAATGCATTATGATGCGTAAGTTTTTTCTAATTGGAGGTTGTACGTAAATTTTGTAAGCTAAAAGCGTCTTGCTAGTCTGCACGCATAACTTTTTTATCTATTAAGCGTGAATTTGAGCTTTTATTAATTATTGATTTTAATATGAAAGAGCGCTTGATAACCGCTAAAGTTGCACTAATATAACCTGTAGAACCTATACTCTTATTTCATAATGTAACTTGATCTAAAGCTTAATGAAAATAGACATTCAAGTACCCATATACCTGGTAAGAGCTCTGCTGTGGTTAGAAGGTGTACAGGATTTCCGAGAGCGCCTTAAATCCTCAATGGTTCTTTTTTAAATTGTGGTTTAAAATAAATTTATATTTATGTTCCCTAGATAAGTTCACCCATCATTATCGTCTCCTATTCGTTGAAACTATATTATGAAATCAAATTTTGTACACACGCTTATTTATTTTATTCGTTCGATAATACAGAAATAACATTTCTCGTGCCACTTTAATTATCTCCTGGAAAAAGATCCAAAGTAGTTAAGTATCTTCAATAAGCAGTTAACGATGCCCTGATATTTAGGAAGATGCTCTCCATCCATCCAGCGGCACTTCCAAAACGACACAAGAATTCTTGAAGTTAGTGCAAATGATACAAATGTCATATTGTGAATTTTTATTTCATACCACGCAGGAAATCTAATTACTAATCACGCGACAAACTCGAATTTTTCGTATAAATCGAAGTACCAACCAGTATCGCATCAATGACCAACATTGCCATTGGAATTCGTATAACAATTTTACAACGAGCCCTACATTCTTTTTCTGTTTTTATAAGATCGGCAAAATTAATCTGGTTGATTCTAAATATTTTTTTATAGTAACTGTGACTGGGACTGGCAACACTAAAGATGACGCAGGCACCGTGACGCGCTTACTTGTAACTTGAAGCATCGGCGGTAAATTATTGAGATTTAGGAGATGCATCGCTTGATGCGACACAGCGAACGATATACAGAATGATGGAGTATAGTTTCACAACCACGTGGATTTAAATGACGTTTTAAAATTATAACTAATATTGCACACAGTTGGAGGAGAGATACAAATTGCAAATAATTAGTTCAATTAAAATCACCACATTAAACGAAGATTTGTATTTATAATTACATATCGTTTCAATTCAGCACCACTTTGAGTTGACATCCACAACAGCATAAATCCCCGAGTACGAGAATATTTTTTGTAAAAGTACAATTGCACATGTCTGACTAAATAGGATATGCTGTACCAGGTGAGTCACCCTGCACAATGAGTTATATTGAATAAACGACCATGGCTTCTCTTCACAAGCAGGTTAGGTTGAGCAGATACAAAAAAGCCTTCGATCCGACAATACAACCCGTTCGCCATAGCACAAGTGCAGTAAAAAGGCAACAGGTGTGGCATGAATTAAAAGCGCCCAACGCGTTGGCAAACAATTATATACTTCTTAGGCATGGGCTTCACATACGAGTTAGCGAGAAATTAAACCTAAAATGAGAGAACCATCAGAGACAGACTCCATGATAAAACGAGGTCATGGCCCTGCAAGTGTGTATATTTATCGAACACGTTGCAATGTGAATTAAAATAAATTAGATATTTCTAAGATCTGGATTAAAATAATCAAATATATAGATAAAAAATCGTTCATAACGAAGAAATATATCTTTTTAAAAAAAGTTTTATTAATAAATATAGATGACTGAATAGAAAACATCTTTTGAAGTTCGTGTTACTGAAATAGATGAATGTGTTGGAAGTTAAATACTTCGGATTCTTCTAAAAAAAAGTCTTGCGTAATCTTGTGCATTCCGCGAAGCGCCAACACGTCGTAAATATTCTGTATGACAGATGGAACTTGAGTAATCAATGTACATAAATTAAAACGGCAAAAAAACTAGGTAGCCATTTCAATAATAAAACCAGCGGCTTAATGCGACTCAGCGTTGAAATCTTTAAATATAACTAACATGTGTCATTTTTTTTTAAGCTTCATCGAGGATAGCAGGGCTCCCTTTCGAAAATCATAATCATAAAGTAATACCCTACAATAAAACACAATTATACAGACTACGAAATCATCAAAAACTTGGCATTCAGGACGGGAAAGTAAACCAAAAAAAAAGAGACCTGTTCCTGGCATTTGACTACCAGGTTGATTGAGGCAGAGCCTTGAGCGACCAATGCTGTAAAGCTGAGGAACATACAAAGGAAACATTTTCGAGCGATTCCATTTCCCAACCATAGACGAGCAGCATTACAAATCAATGAACTTTGTGATGATTTGTGTAACAAACTATCACATTAATTAATCACGTAAGATAATAGAGAGCACAGGAGTAACTTGACAAGGTAAGATATGTCTCCAGATTCTCGCACGTGTTAATGCGAGGCGGTCTCTAGCTCATCGTCAGCTCAAGGATGGAGACTACGAGAGCGGGAGCTCTTCGAGCGACCGGGAAGCGTTGATCTTGGCTTTGGCCGCAGTGAGTAGTTAACTGATGAAGCCCAGCGACCAGCCGGGCGTCTGAAACACGAAATCAGTATAAGCTTTCGTAGGCAGAACTTCGGGAATTTGTAAAAGAGCAAAATAAAGCGGAATTACTTTCTTTGCCTCAGCATAAAAACTGTAATAAAAGTAATTTCAAAAGACGGAACAGTAGATGTACCTTGCAGAAAATTATGCCAAGAGTATGTACGTACGTTGAACTCAAAACCAAAGGCGTAAACACAACACCGTTATTGATGCAACAATTAAGTTTTGTTGACAATATCATAATAACACAAACGGCAGTTACTGCAATCCGTGGTTCGAAAATATTAGAAACAGCCAAACTTCACGCCACTTTAAATCATCATTAAAGCAAACCTAGCATAAAACATTAATTATTTCTAGAGCTAATAAATGCGCTCAGCAAATGCAGCTTTTAGTATGCAATCTATCATTTTTGTTATTTGCTGCATTGCAAAATTTTCCAAAAAATTTTGGTAAAGAATCAAAAGCAAAAAAAAAAAATCCGTCATTCACGCTACTTGCATTGAAGATCAATTGCACTGCCACGCTCAAGCACTGAAAATATGTAAACACACACCGAGTTTAACACAGAGTTGACGATGAAAACAACACGTAATTATGGTTAAAAAAAACGTATGCCCAACAAAGATAGAAGCATTAGATGATTAGACCAATACCAACGCTCTGAACTTTGTTATATTTTACACAGATCCACGCGTTGAAACACAAGAACTTATTCTTGCCTGATGAACTCTCGCGTCGCGCGCATAAGGAATTAGCGTTTCTTAGGAGGGATTGGCGGAGGTTTCGAATCATCAGAAAAATTTGTAGATCGTGAGGCATCTGTGCCAGAGCCTGATGACCTTGCTCCTCTCTGAACCGTGAGAATTGTCATTGAATATTTCTACTAGAATGCATTAACTTGTCGTAGCAATTCATTCTTAATTTTTAGAAATTTTAATTATATGATTGATTGACTGCTGGACAGATAAGGATATTGAAAAATGCAAAATAAACTATTACAAAACTATCATTTAGTAACATTTAAGAAATAAATTAGAACACCGAAGAGTTGTCCCATTTTCCATGACTCGTTTAATGCATTCAGTAGCGTGCACGTTGGAAATGTACCACTTACCCACGTAACTGTCAGTAATTTATCCACATTTCATTGCGAAAATAATTTTATCAACAACGCGCACCAGTAATCCAGTATTCACTAATTAATCCTTATATTTCGTCTTATTTCCCGCGATCTCACCGTACATAGACGACAAAGACTGAAGGAATGTACTACTAACCTACTTAATTGTCAGGAATTTATCCGCATTTCATTGTGAAAATAATCTTCCTATAAATGTATAATACCAATGGAGTTATCAATTAATCACGACGTATGGTCTTATTTCCCGCGATCTCACCGTACATAGACGACAAATACTGGAGGAATGTATTCTCACAATTGTCAGAAATTTATCCACACTTCATTGTGAAAGTAATCTTCCCAAAAACGTTTACCAATAGAGTCGTTAGTAAATCACGACGTAGTATAGGTAGTCTTATTGAATAAGATCTCACTAAACACGACAAAGACTGTAGGAATGTGCTACTAACCAACTTAATTGCCAGGAATTTATCCACATTTCATTGTGAAAATAATATTCCTAAAAATGTATACCAATAGAGTCATTAGTTAGTCACGACGTATGGTATCATCGTCCGCATCTCACCATGGACGTCAAGGACTGGAGGTGCGAGGCGATATCTTGTTGCTGTTGCTCATCGAACTTCACGACTGCGCAGAGCACGCGAGCCAGTGTCTGTGCGAGAGTTGTTACTCGTTAATGGGGAAATTACTATCTCTTCACAATCTCTTGATTTTCAGAAACTCACTTCACAATCTTTTGATTTTTTATTTAAATCTCTTAAATTTTTAGGATAGAAATACGCAATTTTTTGTCCGCCTCCCCTTCCCCCCAAAAAATATAAAAAAAGGAGTTTTAATGTTAATCTTCCATAAGAAAAATTTTATCCAATTTCCCTTTAACAAAAGTGATGTCAGGATCGTTAGAAACAAATTGTCAAGGAAGATCGTGAAGTTTGAAGGCATAGAAGACTGATTGAAGATGGCAAGCTGAATTTAAACAAGAAAGAGAAGAAAATCTCGAAAAACAGGTCGCACCATTTTTCAGATTGATTATATTCATGCATGAATAACGTAGAGGTAGAAAATAACGACGGGAAAGGAAAAACGAACATTTCAGAATTTCTACCTAAAATAATATGGATGACCAATTCAATCCCGACAGAATTTTTTGCGAGTTGGTTACAATACAGTTTCGGTGATTTTGTTATTTCTTAAAAAGTTCATAATAAGAGCACGTAAGACAGACCTGCGTCTCGCGCCCCATCATGTACTGGTACAGGACGTGTACTAAAGTTCATAATAAGAGCACGTAAGACAGACCTGCGTCTCTCGCCCCCATTATGTACTGGTACAGGACGTATACTAAAGTTCATTATAAGAGTACGTAGGACAGACCTGCGTCTCGCGCCCCATCATGTACTGGTACAGGACGTTCTTGAGATACTCGAACTCAGCAGAATCTTCCAGCGCTGCGGTGGCCGAGGTGCCGCTGGCGTCTGATTTCTTGCCGCGCTTCTTCACCTCCAGCAGCGCCCGCAGCTCTCCCACCTCCAACCTAACGAGTCACATCAATAATTACTAGTGCTATATTAATTACTTAATGTGTACTTCATGTAAGAAAAATTCAATTATTTCCATTGCAATAATTTAATATGTGGAAGTAGCCTAGCCGTTATAAAAAAATTGTTGTGAACATTATAAAGCGAAGTTTCATAAACAAACATTACCAATAGTTCTTATTCACTTTATACCAAACGAAAAAAATATCAATTACGTCCATGGCTCTAATTAAGTGAGTGGCAGTAAAACCCTTTTCTTTAAGACTGATAGTAATGGTAAATTTTCTTGTAAATTTTGTGAAACAAAAACTCAAGTGAAAAGTAACGGATATGAAATTAAATCTTCCGATAACTTGAATAACCAAAAGCATGCGGCACGTAGGCCATGGAATTATCTTGACCTTCCAACTAAAACCACTGAAACTGATCGTATCTTGCGCTCTCATGAGGAACCCACCTTGGATTTTAGTAATAAGAAGCAACCGGGACTTAGGAACTCATACGATATTCTTTTGTTGCAGCGGAATATTTGTTAACTTTTAATAGCGTGACATTTCCTATACTCGAACACATTGCATTATGATCGTTATAAAAATGAACATGATGTTGATATGATTAGATGAATATTCTTTCAACTTTTTACTAGCCTAACATTTCGATATACTCGAAATATGACAGTAAAGAAAATGAATATTGAGGAGAACTGACTTGTGCTGTCGCTTGATGTGCTGCAGCTCCTGCCGCTGCTGCTCGACCTGCTGACGCAGAAGCTCCACCGAGTCTTTGCCCGTCCTGAACGCCTGCGCCGCAACACCCGTCAGCCGCTCCAACTCCTGCACGACACACTTATTCTTAACACTAACGACTTAACTACAGCTGGGGCTCAAGTGAATATATAATCTATATAATATATACATATTTTCATAATGTATACATCCAAAAACTCAGCAAATGTTGAATTAATACATTCAAAAAATCTATAAATTGAATACCACCACGAATGTTCCACGAATACATCCAAATGATCTATAAATTCGAGACGACAGCAAAGGTTCAATGAATAAAAATACATTCAAGATATTTATAGCTGTTAGCGGAAGATTTAGCTTAAAAAATGACGTATCAAACACAAAAGCGAAATAGCTAATATCTGCAGGCAATCATAATCGTTAATAATTAAACCATATGAAATCTCAAGACAACGACAATTTGAGGATTGTATTTGATTAGGCTTTTAACGCTGGATGTTAACTCCCAGAGTGACTTCTTTGATTAGGCTTTTAACGCTGTTTGTTAACTCCCAGAGTGACTTCTTTGATAAGGTTTGGAACGCTTAGTGTTAGCTCATAAAGAGATTTCTATGACAATGAAAAAAATCCCAATAATTATTGGTACATGCCGAGCACTAACCTTCTTCTCCTTGTTCCACTCCTGCTCCAGTTGCTCCATCTCGCGCCTGAGTTGCTGCTCCTTGCGCAACACGAGCTGCGCCGTACGCGTGCGCCACGCGCCTTCTACGTGCGACAGAAGCGACTCAATATCACGCTTCACGCTTCCTTCACTCCCCGAGGGTAACTGAAATAAAACATCCCGTCAACCGTCGTGTTCAGTAATTTACTATTATAATGAGAATAAGAATTAAATGCCGGTATAAATGTTAAAAATTCCATCAGAGCAATAACAACTACGATAAAACCAGGCAAACATTGCGCTGAAGGCTTGATTGAGGGAAACAATTTAAACTCACAATTATTTCATATAACGGGAAACGAAACGTACAGAAATATAATTAATTCATACGAATATAACAGGAGTTTTTACCGAATTTTGAGCGGCATTATCCACGTCGGAGGCATCACCAGGAGCAGTCTGGGCATCTGCGGTAACCTCGTCCCAACTTTCCTCTGTAAAAAAAAATTGACGTTGAATTCAGCAGAAAACGCAACATCCAAAATGTTAAAAAAAACCTTGATTAAGAGTTTTCCGTTGAAACAAAGTGTAATCAACGTTATTTGAGCGTCAGACATAGGAGTCTGACGCTCAAAAATCGCTCAACACGATTTCCAGACTTGGTAGTGTGCATTTCCGACTTAAAATAGATTAGCAATTAACTAACCACTTCACTAACATCCAGTTTCCTCACAAGGGTGAAAAATTATGTCATAAGTAACCCATTAAATTTGGAAAATATTCGAGAAAATTTATTCGCAGCCTCCATAAAACTAAATTTAGCTGTGACATAGAAAAAAAAGAGCATATAAGCATTTTCTCAATGCACTTTTTTTTTTATTCGCAGCCTCCATGAAACTAAATTGGCAGTGACATAGAAAAAAAGAGCATATAAGCATTTTCTCAATGCACTGACTCAATTGAAATTCCGGACATGAGTTGCCGAAAGTCAGTAAACAAACCAATTTAGCTTATTTAATACTTAACTTCACTTCATTAATAATACATACATTCACATGATAGCCAAAATATGTAACGATATATATTTTCTGTAGTATCTAGTTAAAAACAAGAGCAGCACTCACCGGCTGCTTGTGCAGAGGCTCTAGCGTCATACTTGGCAGCCAGGCTCTGAAGCAAACGCTCGAGCTCCTCGCTTTGGCTTCGTCTGAAATAATGCCAGGCACGTTACTTAAGTTCTTTAAAACATCGCGATATTTTCTTAGGACAGGCTAAAATAATGTTATCCTTTCAGATGAAGATATTAGGTGCTCTAAACTAATCTTTAGGTGGAAGATGAAGAGTTTGAATTTAAAATAACTGAGAAGTTTGTTCAATGCCTAACGGGTTCCTATTAAGATCAAAGCTCCCAAATTGAAATAATATATAAAATAGCATTTAAAATAGAATCTAGTGCAATGATAGGTTTGAGAAGTTACAACAATAAAAAAATACGAAACAAGGACAAATAATTGAAGACTTTTACCGTTCTTCCGCCACTCTCGATATTAAGTCTTCATTCTTGAGTTTGAGCTCAGTCTCCAGCTTTTGCATTGCTTCCTCCTTTGCTTGCAGACAACTCATCTGGTTACCCTGCGCCTCCAGTTGATCCTTGAGTCGGTTGATCTCATCCTGCATTCGGTCCCGCTCTAGGGTGCTTCTAGCTTCAGCAGTTGACGCTTCTTCTCGTGCAATTCGTAGATTTTCTCTCAAAAGCTCGCATTCTCCATTCAGATCTTCCTCAGATTTAGCTAGAGACTGCACCTCTCCAGACACGGTGTCTTGACAATGCGAGAGTTTACGAATTTTACTTTGTAGTTCGTTATTTTCCTTAGTAAGTTGAACAAGACGCTCGTCTAGCCGGCCAACTTTCATTCGCTCATCATTGAGTTCGTGTTCAAACTTGACTTTTAACTTAGATAGTTCATCAAATTCACGTTGAATTTGATCTTTTTCTTTACTAAGTTCGCTCAAACGGTCTTCGAGCTTCTGCTTCTCCGCTCGCGCCAGATCTCTGGCATCTTGCACGGCGCTCAATTTGCCATGCATGGCCGCATTGTTCTCCTCTATTTGCTGCACCTGCTTCGCGTAGCTCTCCTTAATTTCCTGCAACCCTGCCACCTCCTCCTCGAGTCGTTTTACAGTCTCTTTGTACTTTTTCTCCAATTCCGCCTTTTCCGCGAGGAATACTTCCTCTGACTTCTTTTGTAGCTCCAGGAATTGTGTTTGAACCTTTTCCTTGTCGAAGGCATGTCGCTCCTCAAGATCCTTCACTCGTTGGTCGTAGTTGAGCTCTTCGGTCGACTTGTCGCGGCTGTCGAGTTTCTCCTGCAAAGCCTTCACCTTCTCGCTGAGCTGAGCGTAAGAGAGCTCCATGTTGAACACCTGAACGTAAAACAAGTCAATAACATCAACATTCATGAAACTGAACAGAGTGAGCAAAGTCAACATTCATGTAACCGAACAGAGCGAACAACGTCAATATTGATTAAACCGAACAGAGTGAGCAACGTTGACATTCATGAAACTGAACTGAGTGAGAAATGTTAACATTTATGAAACTGAACAGAGTGAGAAACGTCAACAATCATGAACCTGAACAGAGTGAGCAACGTCAACATTCACGAAAGTGAACAACGTTAACATAGTGAAACCTAACAGAGTAAACAACATCAACATTCATGAGGCTGAACAAAGTGAGCAACGTAAAAATTCATGTAACAGCGATGTCTAACTATGTCGAGGTGACAAGTCTCCAGATAAATATCGCGTCCCTAATTATTAAATTGTCGAATCCACAAAAATTTCGATCAATAAAAGCAAAGAGCCATTCAATAAATATTTCCAACCTGCTTCCTCAAACAACAATTTCTTCAGTCTAAACAATCTCTGTATATTTTATTATATTTAAACGATCAATAATTTCCTACGCGTGTGATAAGTACGATTCGAACCCATATGAAAGATTATAAATATATTTAATTTATATTATGGAAAAATGACATTGATTGAAGCCGATGAACTTTTCCCCATACGATCATAACCGGCTACACATCTCCCGTGCGGGCTGAGCGCATGGCTGTCAGCCAAATGTTTCCACCAAGAAGGGTCCAATATATAGGAGCTTTGCGACAGTCTCTGTCTATTCAAACGACCTCAACGTCTTCTTAAATTGACGAAAACCCGCGTCATACCTTTAACTAAGTGCTTCAGCAGACAAACGTTACCAGTGAAAATAATCTAAACGTTATAGAGAACAAGTTTCTCAGGTACAGAATCCAAATTTTCATTGCCAATAATGATTGCGAGAATCGTGCCCAGAAAAAATCGTGTCACAAGTAAAACTATCACAAATCAGACTACTAAATGAATTGATAAAAATTCTCTATCAATTGTATCATCTTCAAGTTCTCATACAAAATTGTGATCTAGTATAACAAATATTCAGTTTGAGTGCAAACACAGAATAATTTGATCGCAAAAATTACTGGCTGTAAGAAAAAAGCGAGAAGAGAGGAATTAGTATAGATGCCTTTAAAACAAAATCAACAAGTTTTCAAGAGTAAACTCGTACTAACGAATACTACAGAGTAAAGTCGTACCAACGAATACTGTAATAATATAAAAATATCTTTCAAAATCTAAAACAGAAGCATTGAGAAAATAATTGAAGCTTGATTGATATACAAAAATAATTGAAATAAAGAAAGATTACAATAGATAAACGTGTTAACGGTCAATTAGGATCGAGAATAAAGAAGAGCATAGAGCGGAATATAAATTAATCAGGAATTAGTGACTTCGAATAGTTAGACAGTGACACGCATCCAAACTACACAGCTACCACATTCATAATAAAATGGTGTTAAACAAAGTAAGACTTCAGCAAACGGCTGTAACACTTACCTCTGCCTGGTTCTCTTCCTGCAACGAAAAATAAGTGGGATTAATAAGGTAAACGACCGAGTTACTTGAATCTCAATGACGGGAGGGAGGGAAAATAACAGAAATTGAAGTACAAATTATGAAACAGGGAATAATAGTTGAAAGCAAACAAGGGGGCTTTTAAAACACATGAAATGAAGGGCTAATTATGTTGCAAAAACAATCCGATGAGCGATTGAATTGTTCTTCATTAAGATAAAAGGAGTGATCTTGGAAGCCTTCAGAGCTTCATTGTTTGAAAAGACGGGATGCAACCGACTATTGGGAATGTAAAGGGATCAAAAGACAGCAGTTTCAACGGTACAAATGCAAAAACTTCGTTCTAAACTTGAGACGAGCAAATTCCAAAATGAGCTGTAATACTTAACAACGCCAAATACTGCGCGTTTAACACCACGCCACTCGGACTAAGTAAAGTTTTAATAAATGAAATACGCAATCCGTTTGCGTTGAAGCGCTTCTCAAAATGCATTGACAATATCCCACTGATTCTATTGTAGTCTCACTCGCTCTAAACAGTAATGAAGGTTTTTTGTAACGAACTATAATCAGGGGAAAAAGAACGTCAGCCAATTTTATGTGAAATTTCTAAGTGTGTCACTGCACCCAAAGTCTCGTAAATGTACGATGCCTAACTGACGAAGAGATATGAATCTAAAGAAATAGAATACGCGTTTTGCAAGGTGAACATATTAAAAATGAATTGCATCATACTAAAATAATATGAAAAAAAAAAGAGATTAGTCCAGGCTCGAGTTTTCACGCGAGTCTACCAATCCAATCAACATCATGCAGTGAGGGACTCTGTGGTAAAGGTACCAAAACGTGGAGTCATTCTAGGGTAATTTATGTAGTTTATAGGGGAATCCTGCATGCATCAGCTGTGTTGCTTTTTGGATACGCAAGGTGAAGTATTAAAAAAGATGGATTATTTTTACGCGCAAAATTTTAGCCGAGTATAAACGAATAAAACGCCTTCATATTGCCAAAGGGTAACCAGCAAAAGCGTCACGGTATCTCAGGGATTGTAGGAGGATTCAACTCACACGGTCAACAGGGATCACGCATAACGACGGTTGCGAACAAACCTTATTTTTATTATGTTCATTGTTGAACTGCAGCATTGCCACGAGCTTGACTGAGTTCTCTCTCTCCTCCTCGTACTTGGCTATCATGCCCTTCAACTGTAATTGCTCGGCTCTCATCGCGGCGATATCAGGAGAACTCGAACGGGTATTCTAAGTGTACGGAAAAGAAAATACACCGAATAAACACAAAGTTTGCGAGTTCATAATAAGACACAAGTAATATTAGAAATTTAAAGAAATGCAGAGCGCTAACTTGACTCGCGACTCGCTTGGAGACTCGCGAACGAACACATGCGATAAAGCGCAGAACGCCATACGCTTATAAACCAAAATTCCTACCACTTATGCTGGCAAATAACTTAAAAATCTAAAATGTTTCATATTAGCATTTTTTAAATTCTAATCTTAGATGTTTTAGAAAATATTTATTCCTAAATATTTGTATGGTTCATACTTTTTTCATTATCAACGCTACCATTTTACAACTGCTATGACTGCAGGTAGAAGATGAAGAGAAAGCTAGAAGAGCACGTAGGTTCGTAAGAGTATCTGCTATTTATATCTATAAAATTGTTAAGCAAGAACTGTTCCGACAGCAAAATATATTTTTTGAAGAGCCTATAGAACCTATTGCGATGCACAGATATTTTTCTGGCGTTGCGAGACACTTTGTTCCAATTTCGTTGGCAGATAAAATTCAGTAACGCGACCAATTCAATACTTCAAAACGAATGAACTAAGGGTAGTGATTGTCATACAAGTCTCATTAGGAAAAAATTATACTTAACTACAGAAACAATATATACCTGAATTTGTGTCCAAGAATGAGGTAGCAAATTAAACGATGATGCAAGCAACGCAGCAAATTTTGAGCAGGGAAGCAGCGTACAGGGATGGCTTAATTATCTTGTAGGTGCTGGAGTGAAGGTTATGACGACGGCGACGAATCGGTACTCGAATACGGCACCGTTCCATCAGGCACAGTTGGAGCACATTCTTCTGGGGTGCCAGAAGATAAGGGGCCGCTGGAAGAAGTGTTAGCGCCGGCACAAACTCCAACGGAGTACGAAATTGTAGTGTCTTCTTGCGACGACTCAGACGATGAATCCGATTCGTAGCCAGAAGGAGCAGAAACCTCATTTTCGGACGCATACCTATTCGTAGCAGCACAACTAAGTGAAGAAGAAGAGGGAAAATCGCGGGAAACAAATACAGCAGTTTTTGCGTGAGGGAAAATCTCCTGATGCACATCTTGCTCTGCAACATCGTCCGTGGCGTCCAAAGAGACGCCTGACGTCGATCGAGAGTCGAGTGCATCGAGGTCAGGATAAGAGGACGACATTACTAAGGATAATATGGGCCGTTGACGCGTTAGCGCTTCAGCACTGGAATTAGGATGAAAAGTGGATACGTCTAACCCGTCGCTTTCATTAGCAAGTTGATGGTCAACATCACATTGTAATGTAGTGGAATTGGAGGAATGTTTCACATCATCCGAAACGAATTTATCATCACTAACGGATGACGATGAAGAAACGGTTCGGAGTGATGGAGATGACGTCATAGGAGTCATTCGTCTTGCTAGTCTAGGAGTTGAGCGATCATCGAGCCTCGTTTCGAGCTCTTCTATTACAATCATTTTATTGTCCAGCTCTTCTTGCATAGAAAGTAATTTAATTTCCCATCCGCTGATCTCGTCGCATTTTTCAGCAAGTTTCCTTTCATATTCAGTGACTCGTGTCACTAACAACCGACCAAACTCGCTTTTTTCTTCTGAAATTAAGGATTCGTAATATTCTTTAGTTTCAGCTAACTTTCGAGAAAATTCTGTCTCAAGATCGGCAAATTTTTTTTCGAGACGCTGAGTTTCTTCGTCTTTTCTAGACTCCACAAAATCTAGTTCAGCAGTCAAGTCCTGTCGCAATTCGCTAATTTTCCGTTGTAGACTACTAACATCGTTCACACTATCGCTCGTGGGCAGAACGTCGATCGCAGCCGACCTTCGCAGTGCGATGTCTTCTCTTTGCAAAGCGACCGCAGAGGTTGCCAACGCGCGCAACTCTGCAACTTTCGTTTGAGCGGCTTCTGAGGTGCCAGTAGTCAGGCCGTTGCCGCTCACTCCAATATCACCGAGTCTTTCTAACGTTTCGCTTGAATGCTCATGCTGTTCTGATAAGGATCCTTTCTCGATTTCAAGCTGGTATAACCTCTCACCCAGATATTTTACAGTGGCATTCAGGTCGTTTACTTTAGAAGTGAGAGCTGAATTTTCTTCCTTAAACGATTTCAGTTCGACATACATATTGTCTTTGCTTTCAGAGAGGGTGTTTTTCTCAGCTTCCAGAGAGAGGATCAGTTTTTCCATGTCAGCAACCATCAAATTCTGCATTTCCAACATATTTTTTTGCTCTTCTTCGTGATCTCTAGTTAGAGACTCCTTCTCCTTTTTAAGCTGTATCACTTCTTCTTCTAAAGACTTAATTCTGTCACTCTCATAGTCCCGTGGGTTATCAAATTTTTTGACGGGTTCCATGCCACTTTCATCTTTAGTATCTGGCTGGAAACTTTCGTGTTTTCTTGACTCAGAATTCGGTTCGTGATCCCCTTTCTTCTGAGCTTTATCTTTATTACTGAACGATTGTAGCCCCGCTTTTAGTTCAGAATTAACACGAGATAACTCTTTTATTTCTTCATTTGTAACCTTGACACGGGATTCACTGGCATTTATTGCAGAACGAAGGTCATCGTTGGCGGTTTGGAGGGTTTGTTTCTCTTGCTGCAGCTGACTGATCAAATCACTGTCATGAGATGCATTTCTTTCCATCTCCAAAATCTTAGAGTTACATGAATGCAATTGCGAAGTTATCTTCAAGTTCTCCTCTTCCAGTTCAGAGATTTTTGAAGCATGTTGATCACACAATGAGTGCATGGCCTCTAATTCAAGTTTTTCCTCTTCCAATTCAGCGATTTTCCTCTTTAGGCGTTCAAGTTCAAGTTTAGTTTCTTCCCGTAATTTATTTCCCAGGTCTTTCTCTATCAGAAGCTCGTCACATCTCGCGTTCAACACCTCAATGCGCGTCTTCATTTCTTGAGTCTCTCTGCACAGCTCTTCAACTTTTCTCGCCGAATTCTTCTTTTCTGACAGATAAGCTACTTTGCTATCGTCACTGGATTGGAGTTTATCTTCGAGCGTCTTGGTGTAGTCCATCAGCTTCCTCTTGACCTCATTGAGAACACCAACTTTATTCTCCGTCAACTTCATCTTCGCTTCCATTTTTGCGTAATTATTCGCCGTTTCAGTCAAGTTAGTCTCTAGCACGGTTAATTTTCTTTTCAAATCACAATTTTCTTCCAACAAATGATCATTAGAGTCACGTGTAGGTTGATGAACAAATTTCGTTCCCTCTTCCAAAACACCAACGCGAGAATCCGATCTGTCCACTACTGAATCTATCTTGGCAAGGTAGGACGATTCTACTTCATCTAACCTAGAACATTCAGTCGCAGCTAAGCTGCGCGCTACTCTATTTTCTATCGCACTAACTATCAATTTCAATCGTTCATCCAAGTTTTTTTTTAGTTCAGGATCAAGCTTTTCCGAACCAGATTCTGTTTCGGCATCCGAATTTGTTTCATTTGTTTCACTTCTTAATTTGGCTTCTAATTCTAGAACAATTTTCAGCTTTTGGGCTTCTTGATCAGATTTAACTCTCTCCAAATGGGCTATGGTGGTTTTCAGTTCATCACATTCCGAGTGTGATCGATCGAGTTCTTCTTTTAATGTTGTAATATCACTGTTCAATTTTCTCATAATTTCCAAATGATCTTCGAACGTCTTGGGATCAACTTGAGCATTGGAATCTTGTTTAGCACCCTCAAGTTTCTCTTCAAGTTCTTCAATGTACTTATGTTTGCACGACAAAGATTCTTCTAATTTAATCACTTTCTCCTCGAAAGACGCTATCGTGTTTTCTTTGTCGGATACAAAGGCTTGAAATTCTGCTTCCGTCGCAAACGGGCACCAAGTGTTTGATGCTTTGTCTTCATGCCCAGAGGGTGATTCTTCATCACATTCACCGATTCGTTCAGAGTTGCCAGCAGAACCTTGTTGTTCGTCCCCGTGAGATTTTTCGGACTGAACTGTTCCGGATGACGCGCATGTTTTTTCAGAGTCACGGACGATGTTGGTCTGAGACAGACCACGTCCGAGCCTGGTCGCTGCCAAGACACCACTCAGCTCTTCAACACGTCGGACCATTGCGGTTATTTTGGTCACCTTGTCCGAAGACTCGTCAGACACTGAGGTGATGCTGGGGCGACCACCACGGACGACGCGTATCAGATCATCTTTAGCTACGCTTAACTCGCATTCCAGTTCTTCCAATGAGCCGGACCAGGCAGTTATCAATTCGACATCAAGATCTTCATCTTCAATCTCTTCTTCAATTCCTTCTGAATTTTTCTTTGTGATTCGACGCAGGGCATGAACAGAACGTTTAAGGTTTTTAATATCCTCGTTCTTAGCAATTTCCAAATCTTTCAGTTTTATTTTTAAATCTTCAATGACAGTATCATATTCAATGGTTTTTTTCTGGTTCGACTGAACATATTCTTCAAATTTGGTTTCAAGTTCTGCCTTAGTCTCCTTCAATTTGGCACATTCTTCTTCCAGAGCGCTTATTATTGCTTTTGATTCTTCGATTTGATTTGACAGTTTAAGTTGCAGAGCAGTGTTCTCGTCTTGAAGTCCACGGAGATTTTCGCAGGACTGTTTTTGGTTGTTGGTGAGAGTCTTTTTGAGCTCTAGAATACTGGCTTCCCTCGCCTTCAGCTCCTCATTATATTCATCCTCCTTTTCATGAAATTCGCAGGTCAACGCAGTATTCTTGCGAGAGAGATCCTCAACTTGATCCTTCAGGGATTCCACGAGGTTCTTCTGATGATTGAGAGCAATTGATAGTTCTACAGAGGCTTCTTCTAGTTTATTTTTCTCGAAAATAATCTCACGGTTCGTCTCACTTAGAGTGTCGTAGGAAACTTCCAACTGAAGTCTCGCATCGCTCTGCCTCATCATATCTTCTTTCATTCTGGACATCTCATCCTTCAGGCAAGAAACGAACTCGTTCATTTCATTATTTAAACTTTCAAGGCGTTCTTCCAAATCCTTGATGGTTTCCTCTTTCGTCTTCAGCTTTTCGTTCAGAACATCAGCAGAATCTTGTTCCACTTTATCTTTAGCAAGTTCATCTACTTGACATTGCAGAACAGTTATTTTAGACTGATATTCTTTGTTAAGACCCGCAAGCCCCGCTATTTCTGTACGCAATTTTTCTTCCCTTTCGCTACTCTGGACCGAAAATTTTTTCAAATTAGTTTCGAACGCTGCTGCTTGACGAGCAATCTCTGTTTCGAAGGATTTTTTCATCGCATCGCAGGCTTCCGTCGAAACTTCAACATTTTCCAGCTTCTTCTTCATTTCATCAGCAGTTTCTAATAGTGTTTTTTCGCGATCAGTTTGCAATTGAACTATTTTTGAGAGGCGTTCAATTTCTGCACGTTTGCTCTCAACTTCTGCCAAAAGGTCATCTCTTTCTGTCATGACTGCAGCTACAAGCGTATCAAAACTGCTCTGCAATTGCAACATTTTTCCTTCAACAAGCTGCACTTTTTCTTGTAGAACTTTACATTCTCTCCGTTTTAACTCACGGTCTCGAGCTAAGGCTTTCAGATATTTACCAGTGCTTCTTAGTTTTTCGCTTAGCTTCTTGTTCTGCTCTTCCAGAATGGAATAGTCATCGAAGGCATCATCAGGAGGAAGATCATCTAGGTTTTCCGCAGAAGACTCAGCAGGCGAGTCTTCTTCATTACATGGGGAGTGTTCTTCGTGATCAGAGACATCACGTTCTTCGTGCACTGGTTCCACATTCTTGTTCGTTATGTCCTTAACAAGTTCCATGGCTTGTGTTTCAACTCGTGTTTTCTCTCCTGTGACTGTTTCGATCTCTGTTCTGTACTCGGCCATCATAAGCTCCAGTACTTTCAACTTGTTTTCCAGTTCTTCCTTTTCAGTAAATTCTTTGGTCTTTGAGCTATCCAACTCTTTAGATTTCTTCAGCAACTCTTCTTTGAAGATCTCATTTTCTTTAGTAAGAGTCTCGAACATTTTTTCTTTCGAGTTCAGTCGTTCAAGCATCGTTGACACCTGACTTTCGAGCAATGCCTGATTTTTCTTAGAAGCTGCCAATTCTTCTTCTAGCTCAGCGAAAGATTTGGTTGTGACCGATATGCATCGCCCCATTTCATCTTTAACATTACGTAACTCTGACACCAAATTGGATAAGGAAAGAATTTCTTCCGCTTTAACAACTCCAACGCTTTTCATCGGATCGCCTGAAGCATTACCTTCTTCCATACTTACTGTTACAGCCGGTACGGCTGGCTGGCTCACTGCCTCGTCTGACTTTAAACCTCCATCTAATGCTGTCGTTTCAGATTCATTCACTAGGCCTATGCTTGTATTAGCGTTGATATTCGCTTCATCGTTTCTCAAAAGAGTATCGACAAGCCCTTGTTCAGCATTTACTAATCGCGCACTAGTCTCTTCCATTTCTTCTTCGTCAAACAACGAATTACTCGAGGTTGTCACCCTATGGAGATATTCTGTGGCTTTAGCGTCAAGCTCGGCCATTTGCTTATCCTTCAGTCTCAACTGCTCCTCTAAAACTTTAAGTTTGTCTTCAAGTCGCTTTTTCTCGGATTGGAAAGCCAGTAACCGGCCTTCAGACTCAACGTCTTCGTCGTCGCTATCATCATCTTCCTCTTCTATTTGCTCGGCTATGAGCCGATTGTTTTCCTTCAGCTGATCAAATTCCTTTTTTAACGCTGCTCGCTCCTTCAGTACATCACTCAAAAACTGTTTCAGAGCGCTGCATTCGTCTTCCACTGATCCAGCAGATTGGAAGACACTTAAATCAACACTATTCGACATTTTCAAACTTTTTAGCACAGTTTATGCTATTCAAGACCAGCACATAAATAGCCAAAATCTAACATCTGTGGCAGGCACTATAATTGCTAATGATTGAAACACCACTTCCGAAGGTGAGATGATATCGCTTTTAAAGTCAACAAATTAATAAATAAATTCAGATAAAAACTCGATCAAAAGCGGTCAATTATTACATCCGTTATTAATGTGCCACAAAAACTGAAATATTCAAAGAAATTATCACATATCTCGGAGGCTTAGTTATTCCCAACCACTCGATATTGAAACAAGGTGCGAACAGAGATGAGTTCGGAGACGAGAGAGGAGAGTCACGACAGAGCACAACCATCAAAGCTGTACTGACAGCCTCCAAAAGTGGGCGCATAATATCGCCACGGCACCTGCATACCCTCCTACCCTCGCTGGCTCAAGGCCTGGCATAGGGCCAGTCTAAGCCTGTTAGTTCTCTTTCATAAAAAACAACATAGCTGCATGCCGCCAAACTCACAAATGGTGCCTGAGCAACCGTTATGCCAGCTGAATACTGCTGAAGTTGGCACGCGCAGCCTGAAGCCGGCCATATTTACTAGCGATCTAACACAATATTATCGCTTGCATGGACAACGAGGATAATGGATGACATGAGTGTTTCATAGTTTTTCATGTTTTTCAGCATAAACTGCAATTTTTTAATAAAAAAATAACTAATTGGAGGACATAAAAAATGCTTCCAAAACTTAGATGACCAAGAGAATAAGTTCTGTTCAAAATATGATCTAAGAAGTTCAGAGAGCCTCATTCTAATAAATTACGATTATACGTATTTACAACGGATCCTCAAGACACAAGACACAAATCTTTCAAAAACACTTACCGCAGAAGCCCTGAATTTGCCAAGACTTCAAACTTCCCTGCAATTATGTAGTCATAACATACATTAAAATTATTTACGAAATGCACTGCGAGTATGAAAAACACGCGAAATGGTTCAAAGCACTGAAATAAAACAGTGTTCGCGTTCTAATTTCCACGACGCACAAGCATCACTGATAACATATTTTCACGTATCCGTCAAACATTTATGCTCAATAAATTAGATGAAATGCCAACAAATAACCTAAGAAAGTATTCACATTGAATCGACTTGAAGGTTAACCAGGACAACGTAAAATAAAAGTCAGCTGTCACAGGAGCTGGCAGCCAGAGCACTGCCTGTAGGTGCGGCGCTACAGCGTCTCGATGCCTCGTGAACTAGAGGCAGCCTCTAGGTGACTAGTAATATCGTAAACATGCATGGCTTTCTGCATGACGGAAGTGTCTTATCATCAATGAAATGATCAAATATTTATCAATAAGATAAATACTATTGTTAATCAACATTAATTAAAATAAACATCTTCATAAATGGAGGAATTTATATATGTACATAATAATACAAATTAAATAAAAGCACATAATATAATTAATATATAATATAGATAAAATATATATTTTCATTAATAGACTTGCAAACCTAGTAACCTAGGCAGCTTTATGCGGGATAGAATTATTCCATGCTATGCCATTCTGAAGCGTGTAAACATGTCTACCGTCAATGACACATTAGTCGTCACTTGGCAGATATTGCACGGTGCACATACCTCGCCTCTAGTCACTAAAAACCGCATGATACTAGTCAGATGTACGATTTGTTCGGTTCTAAAACCACGTTATGACTACGAAGCTATTTTGATCGCGCTAGAAATTTGTGGCTCAGTTTTGTTCATGAAATAGATCGTTCCTATTGAAGGCCGGCAACTGAAATGCTGTATCGTCGTCATCGGCATTGACTCAGTTTATACGGGAAGGAACGATACCCATAAGAAATGCGCATCGAAGTTTCCATAGGCCCTAGGAATAAGTAATAATACATTGCACCAAAAATAGTCCAAAAATGTCGATCGCACTCGTTCGAAAGTTGACTATTAGTGCACGAATGGTAAATTAATACTATGTTATCAACTCCTTACCAGTTGTTGTATTTAAATCACCACATGTCATAGAGGGAAAGTTGATCGTGCCAGCAAGTTTCAAGTGTCAGTTATGACTCACCTCGAGCTGACTCCGCTGCTCAGCCGATACATCTACACCGTCGCTGGTCCTGTCAAAACAAGAAACAATTCATTTAGTCTGCACGTATGAGTTAAGCACAATTCATAGTCTGCACGCTTAAATTCTGCATGATTCATACAGTCTGAACGCGTAATTCACTCAAGTGTTGCATGGGATTTTCTGTTAGGGAGTGCAACAACATTTAAGAAATATGGCTCCGGAAAATGATGGATGATCATCCCTAATCACTATTATAAATAAAATTTCAAATAAAAATGGGTTTTGAACCATTAACGCCGATAATTCCCTCGTGAACATTAAAACTGTTTTTTTTAATTGTAGAGATTTATTTTGGTATCTCCTAACGAATTGTGAATAAAATTTTTTCATTTTTTATTATTACTCGAAATACAGAGCGGCAAGTATACTTGCCACTTGGCTATAAAAAAATTGTGTAGCAAAAAGAAGAGTACAGGTAGAACAAGAAGAAATTAAAAGTACTTGAACGGATTAGCTAGAGGGAATCTAGGCTTGTATTATCAAGTCCAATTTTATTTTTTCGTGTGATTCTTACTCAGATTCTTCAGGTGTACAGGAATGCTGCACACTCTGAGAAAATGAATGGGGTGGGCGCCACATTCACGGCATCTATTGTATGGACTTATACCTGTATGTAAGAGAACTGATGTTGATACTGTACGTACTGCGTTCACAACCGACATTGGAACTGGATCGGGTTTGACCTCAGTTGTCCAATATTTAGTTATTTAGTTTTCCATATATTCTTACCTACATCAAAATCCCTATCCAAAATTCAGGATTGACTACCACAATATGGCTCAACATGCTGCAGAGGCACATGAAACGTGCTGACAGCCCAAAGTTTGATCCCGAATCTCACTTGTTTTCCTGTAATATACTGATTACTTTTTATTATCACCATGTCTTCCATAATATGGAGCCATGATTTCATCAATATAGTAGTATTTCCAACATTTCTCATCTTTATTGGCATTGTTCAAGTGTTTTGGAAAGCGGACACACATTGTCGAATCGATCGCCATCCATTTCCATATTATCGTTGAAGTGCAAGCATCTCATCATTTGATCAAAAGTATCTCGTCTCATTGAATTCATAAAAAAATTATTGTCTGGTAAATCAATAAAGTACAGGGTTCTATGAGGAACCTTATTGTACCCTAAGAGAATAAGAGAGAGAATAAGAGGCTAAAAATATCTTCATATTCTGACTTTATATCGCTAAAGGAAATTCTTTCTGATTAGCATAGTTTCTTGTCTGTTCAGACAAAACATCAATATAGTCTACTATCCAAAATCACTCAACAATTTCTAATTGAGTGTTTCAGGGACGTCAGGAACTAACTGTTCCTCAGATGCATCGCTAAAATACGGCACTAGATTTTCAACCTTACTTCTTCCCAGCAATTAATATAAACTTTTATAAAAATAACATTTTAAAGCTATAATAGTGAACATGAATAAAAATTTACCTAGAGCCACCTTGCACGATTATCTCAAAATAAAAAGGTTATAGCAAAGAATTACTAACAAAATTATTGATTTCAACGTGAAAATTTTCCAGTCAGCATCTATAACTGCATTTGAATTAATTACATTTAGAACTAATTAATATGTATGATAAGTTAGTGCAATGCACCCGTAAGTATGAATTGTGTAAAAGAGGTGATGGGTAATGGAGTTGGTATATTGATGAGTGAAAGTACACGGCATAGTCAGATACACGAGCGGCATTACAAAATTTAGTTGATTTCTTCATGACATTCCATTAGTAGTGACATTCATTAATAGAGTAATTTTTAGTCACGTCAATTATTTATTAGTGACATCATCATTCATTAGTTTAAGACTCGCTTATTGTTTAGGAAAGTATAGGAATTGAGACTCGTCACGACCACGTTGCTTAATTCAAGCAGCCAATGACGACCGTCTTACTCGCCGAAAATCTACAGAATCTCTCAAAATCAGAAAGATTTGTTAATTCATTGACTTTGAAGCTCACTTGGAAGCTAAATATTTGTTGTTTGATAGGGTTACTATTTTTATTGACTGCGATGGTATCTCAACACCATAGAATTAGTAACAGCCAGTTTTTTATATGGCTCGACATGTAAAGTCGTTCTTATCGGATTACTCTTTTTATCGACTGCAATGAACCTTTTTTCCATTAATTTGCAATGTGACTTCAACAACCTAGCATTTGTTACAGTCAGGGCTGTTTCCCCATAGTTTCTCACGTGAAACGGTTAAAGCCGTGCATGCACGCAGAGACCGTGTGCACTTGAGGGCTCGTGGCTCAGCGCGGTGCCAAAACCGCGGGTATAAATAAATACATGCAACGCTGAGGCTCTGCCTTACAGCTCATTACGGGGCAACCGGCACGTCCATAGGAAATTATTAGCGTCACCTGAAAACGATCTAGCTTAAGTAGAAAGTGCGACAAAAATAATGGTGAGGAACAAAAAAGATTATCATTTCCAATTGATAACATTATAGTATCGTCGTGCTCCAATAATGAGAAATTTGTGAGAACATTAGAGCTGTTTTTCACTTCACCACTAGCTTCTACTCACATAAAAATACTCAGGTTAAGGCAAAGATAGGGCAAAAAAGGCAAATCACGATTCTAAGTTTAAAATCCACTCGAATTATTTATTCAATACTTCATGATGGAATAATGATATAAAAATTCCAATCGTTTCACTTGGCCAAGAATAACCTGCGGGATCTTCAAACATAGCCTTGCAAACACTGAAAGAACACTTTTTCCGAAAAAAAATTTCTTCCAAATGCCGATCCGTGTTCAGCTTCTCTCGAAAACACTATGGGCACTCTCCACTTATTGTCAATTTATTTACGTTATCAATAAGCATTTACTATATTCGATAAAAATTATGTTAGATTATTCTATCATTATTCTCCGATGATCTTTCACGTATGTGAGTTAAGCATTTGTGATATTCTGAGCTTAGCCTGTCACGACATGACGCTGCCGAGATGGCACATATCTTGGCCGCAGCCGTCTAGAAACCCCGCCTGACACTTGCAAGACTTATTATCATAAACTTTCAACTTGTTTTACAATTATTCGTGGACTTAAAAATGCAGTTTAATAGTCAACAATTCCGCAGCCTGACGTTGAATCAACCATCAACTTCTCATCGCAGCTCAAGAGGGATTATCGAGCTAAAAAACCTTTCTAATTTTATTCCTCTTGCCCGGAGATGCAGCCTCTTAAAAACAAAAATGGGCGAGAAGGCGGTCGAAATGCTCACTCAAAAACAATTTTTCGTTTATCAAAATCTTACACTACACAATTGCAGTAATACAGGTCACCATTTTTCACTATATTAATGCAATCCAACAATCAAAAAAGATCAAAATACTATAATAATAATAATCGTCTAATCCCACGCAGTCAAAAAATGCTAAGAAAGAATAAGACCGGCGTTGTCCAAAATAGATAATCCCTACTATTCTCTTTCGCAAATACCGTTATCACGACGTATATTAATAAATTCGAAAGAAATATGCGGGTTAATTCAGGAATAACACGTTCAGACAAACGTTTAAAATCAAATTTTTTTTAAACTCCTGTTGAAAAATTGAGTAAATTTCCATGTTTCCGTTTTCTAATTAAATTCAAGAAAAGCATTCATGTATTGTTAATACGTAATCACATAGCTTCTGTGTAGTTCTATGAGCAGGCTTCAAACAAACTCACAAACAAGCACTCAAAAATATTCCATAAACAGGACATGCAATGCACAACAACTAGGCAATAAAAAATGCGTGGAACATAAAATTTCTTCAAAAAAATATCAGTACGATTTTCACGCGAAGAAGCAGCCACACAGTTGAACAGAATCAAGATGCAAATGCCTAAATTTACTCCGACATTTGATGCTAAGTCCTCACTCGGGTTCGTTTTCAACAAAATTAATTCACACAGGAATTAAGTCTTTTCTGTTGGAATACCGGTATATAGTTACAATAAGAATACGAGGTAAACGCCGTTAATTTCAGTTGATCTCAGGACGTTTCAACGATACATACGCATCAACGGTCGAAGCGGCAGCAATGTCGAGTAGAACGCAGGTAGCTTGAGTCGATTGAAGGCTTTCGATGTCGTTCGATGATGATTGGTTTTCGCACGCGGATTCACCAGAGGATATAGTTGTCAATTTTTCTGTATCACTCTCGTTGAAGTTCTCACGCTGAGTAGCAGTTTCGGCTTGAGTGTCACTCTTGGTAGTATTAGTACTTGAACCCCAGATTAAGTAGGAAATGGCTGAAGCAGCGCGACTCAAGAGGCTGCTGCTTGTGGCTTCTACAAGCTCTGGAGGTTGGTCGGACTTCTGCCCATTCAAGGGATCAACCGTGCACGGGATATCCTGATTTTCGTCAGGGTGCTTTTCATCCACATTAATTTCGCTGGATTTTGTGGAAGGGGATGCGAGCGGTACATCCATTTCAGACATGTCCGAGTTTTTTTTTTTTTGTATTTGAAGAAATTCGTGGACAATGTCCAATGTAAAATACAAAATTTATACTCTGGTTCGATGCTTCACACTAATTTTGAAAATATTTTCGTTTCACGAATCCATGAAACGGTGAGCTTCCACAAGCGAAGACAGTCCGTCAACAACAATAGGTAACCCGATCTTTCTATGCGAAATAATTTACGAATAATGTCAAAATAATCATTTACTGTCCAAACTCTTCACTGGATCCAGCAAACCTAAAGAATGACACTACGGCTGCAAGTGAGAAAATCTGCCAAGGATGAGAAATTTTAATGCACATATGAAAATAATGATAAATATAAAAGAATGCCGCAGAAAAACTGCACGGTGATAGTAACGAAAAAAGAAAACGGAAGCCACCACGAAAAGTCGAAAACACAACAAAACAAGAAAACATTTGACAGAAAACAACAACACGAGAAAAATGTTGTCACATCACTCACCTGCCAGCACCAGAAACTTGCTGCTGCTCTTGAAGCTGTTGTTGCTGCAACAGCTGCTGATCCTGATGCTGTAACAGCTCTGCGTGCTTCTGTTGCACCTGTTCATACTCCAGCTGTTGCAGTGATAACCTTCCCTCGTATTCCTTCACTTGCGCCTCCAAAGATGCGATCTAATAGAACGAAATAACATCATAATAACGAAAATATTACGGGGATTCGTTGTGGTGCCACGAGACAAAGTTATAGTCTAACGAACGGATGAAACAAAGGCTAAACAAATCTAGCTAAGCAATCGATTTAATTGTGGAACCGACGTTAATTGAAATTGAATAAAAAGACATAACGATTCAATTTAAAACAAAAGAGAGCTACCGAAATTCATTCAACAATTTGGTAAGATATAAGGAGTAAAAGTAACTAAAGGTTTATACCGCATTCGCCCGTGAATAAGTCGACTTCTCATAAGACGATCTGGCAGAAAAATCAATCATTGTAGAAAACCCAACGTGCGTACATATTGCATTTTTGGTGAATATTCACGAGTTAATGTTAACATTATTGATATGAAATTCGGAATATGCAAAAAGCTCATGTGTGGAAAGAGTTGAAGCCGCATTGCTGGTAAGACTCGCACGCCGAGGGGTTGATATCGTCCCAATAAAATGTTTAATGAAACTTTATGTCAACTATTAATTCAAAAAATGTAACTCAGTACTCACTGCAGTGAGTGACAGAAAGCGCATTTTCTCGTCGACGAAAACTTGAGGTCACGGACGGACAGACGGACAGACAGACAGATGGACATGGCGAGCACAATAGTGCATTTTTTCCATAAATGAGAAAATGCGCTAAAAAGGACTAATACCGTGATTTTTTTGTGCAACGATTAACATCGAAATTACTTTCGATTGGTTTCAAAAGACGCAACTTTAATGACAATCATTACTAATATTTATGACTTACACTTCTCATTCATTGTGCAAAAATTACATCAAAATGTATTTCAATCTCGCTTCAAAAGCCACCACCCACCTGGTGTTCAGAGAGCGCCTCATTCTCCGCAGAGTTCGTCTCGAGACCCAAGATCTTCTCCTCGAGCTCGCGGCTGGCAGCCTGCATGAGGGCCTTCTGCTGCTCCAGCTCTTGGCTCACGGCCTTCATACGCGCCTGGGATTTTGTCCAAAGATTTTGGTTCTCCTCTCTGAGCGTCACGATCAGCTGCTCCTTCTCGGATAAAGTATTCAGAAGCTGCCGATGTTCATCTGAATGTGATGAATTAAGCGAGTTTGCTTCTGTGAGGTTCTTTTCAATGGAGTTCAGGTTCTTCCTTAGCTCCTCAACCGTTTGTTTACTTGTGCTAAGTTCTTCATTGAGGTATTCATGTTGCGTAAGCAAAGCTTTAACTTGATTTTCATGATCAGTGATACGCTGATCCATTTCCTGGTTCAGATTTTGCACTTCATTACTTTTTTCCTCTAGTTTGGCTCGAAGGTCCGTGACATCAACACGCCACTCATCTTCTTTCTTGGCTAGCAGCTCAGTTTTCTGTGATAGCTCTAATTTACTCGCATTTAGTTCCTGTTTACAATGTAGCAGCTGATTTTCTACCTCCATTACTCGCAAATCTGATGTTCTTTTCAGTTGTTCCATGTCAGCCAGACACACATCATGCGCATCCTTCAGTCGCTGCATTTCCTTTCCCAAATCCTGCAAGCGGTCGTCGGATGTAGCCAATCTCTGCTCCAGCTCCTTCACTTGCAAATCGTGAGTGTGTTTAATCCGTTCTTTCTCTTCTTCTAGTTGGGCAACACGTGAGTCTGAATTTAGCTTCAGTTTGTCTAGTTCAGTCGTGCTGATACTCATCTCTTTCTTCACCTGTTCCAGCTCTTTCTGCAATTCAGTCACTCGTGAATCTGAGGTTCTTTTTACGACCTCAAGCTCTCTTTCTAGCTCGACCACACGAGTACTAGATTCTATTTTAAGCTGTTCTAGTTCGGTAAATTTGCTATTTGAATCCATATTTGCCTGTTCTAGCTCGTTTTGCAGCTCCTTCGCTCGTGAATCGGATGTTCTTTTTAGGACCTCAAGCTCACTTTCAAGCTCAACTACACGAGCACTAGATTCATTATTAAGCTGTTCTAGTTCAGCAACTCTTTCGGAATCCATCTTCAACCGTTCCAGTTCAACCACTTGAGAGTCACGAGTAATTTTTAATATTTCTAACTCGTTTTCCAACTCCGCAATTCTCAGAGACGAATTTTTCAGTTCATCCTCAAGTTTATTTGTTCGTTCCTTGGAATCATTTAGCAGTTGTTCCAGATCTGCCACGCGGGTTGCACAAGAAGTTTCAAGTTCGTTTATTCTTCCTTCAGCATCAAGAGCTCGCGTTTCTAGATTAGTTACCGTCTCAAGCTGCTCGTTAAGCAGATTCATCTCATGCTTCAACTCAAGCTCCAAGCTCTTGCTGGCTTCAAGATCGTTTTCCAGGCTTTTTATTCGATCAGCGAGCACTTGTTTCGTGGAAATCAGCTCGTCTCGACTACTCATCAATTCAGATATTTCTTTCTCTCTGAAAGCTGCTTGTTCTTCCATCTGTGATAAATCAGAATTTTTCTGACTTATTTCTGCCCGCAGTAACTCGGCGTTCTGTTCTAAATCAGAAGCAGACTGCGTACTATTTCTCAATCGTTCGTGCATGTCTTCCAATTCGATCAAACGAGTATTTAAATTGTCGTTTTCCGAACTTAATTTGTCCGTTTTTTCCATTGAAACGGATAACGCCGAGTTACTCTGGTCTAAAAGTTTGTCCAGCTCCAGAACTCTTCTTTGTTTCTCATCATTCTCATTCTGCAGCGAGGTGCACTTGGACTTCCATTCGTCTCTTTCTGTGAGAACATCGCTCAAGCTTGAGCTGAGGCTTGCTTTTTCTGTCGTCAGAGCTTCGTTTACAATCTTCAAATTTTCTTGAATGGTGTGAAGTTCGTCGTTTTTTCGAGATGCATCAACCAAGTTTTGTGATGTAATTTCCAATTGTTCACGTAAACCTTCAATTTCAGCCGATTTTTCGCTCCTTTCAGCTTCTAAAAGTTTAAGATTCGAATTTAAATGCGTAATTTGTTGTTCAACATTGGAGCGAATTTCTAGAGACTTTGTAGCCTGTTCTTCTAAAACTTCACACCTTTGTCTGCAAGAATCAAACTCGTTCTCAACATGCTCGAGTTTCGCTTGTAACTCACGTCGATCATTAATTATCGAGTCAGCCTCTGCCATCAGCGAATCACATTGATTTTGTAACACCGAAACTCTTTTCTCCGCATCACATTTATCCGACTGCAATTTCTCCAAAGTACTATGCTGGTCATGAATTCGCTGCTTGAGATTATCGCAATACTGCCTGACGTCAAATGCCTCTGACGAATAAACTATTTCTCTCTTGGAATCTACCGTCCTCTCAGTGTTCAAAACCTTTCCTCCGACCAGAAGTTCATCGTCAAGCGACGACGACAGTTCTTGTAAGCACGTCAATGTGAAGCTCGCAGCGCCGCGAATTTCGTCTCGTTCACTGATGGCCTCAAGCAGATCTCTTTGCAGCTTCTCTCTCTCAGTTTTAATCGCAAGTAATTCACATTCTAATCGATTATGAGAGTCCTTCAGCGTCTCAATTTGCTCGGCTAATTTGCTGGATTCACTTTTAGAGCGTTCGTGCTGCTCAGTTGTTTCTTTAAGAAGTTGTATTTCTTCCAACAAACACGACACTCGATTACTCAATTCGCTTCTTTGCTTCACATGTTCGTTGACCGAGCCTTGTACTTCATGGTAACTTGCATTCAAGCTGTCAAGCTCAGCTTGCAATCTTTCGTTTCTATTTTGTACATTGGAATATTTGGTCTCCATTTCTGCACAATCATCAGTCAGCTGCCGAACTAACTCTTCACTCTGCCGATTTTTTTCCTCGAGTTCTCCTATTCTCCACTGTAGATCCCGCTTTGTTGTTTCGAGTTCTGCAATAGCGGCCACGTAGGTCGTCTGTACATCGTTAGAAGTGCTACTCTTCTGGTCAATCGCTTCTGAAAATGTCAGGAGATCTCCCGACGAAGGCAGTGGTTCGGTCTGCGACGACTGTTGCTCCTCACATGGTAAGATCTCTGTTTGACCAACCAAGGACTGATTTTCATCCAGTGGTTGTACCAGTGAAGGATGTTCTAGTGAAGGATGTCCTAGTGAAGAATGTTCTAGCGAAGGAACTGCCACCAACAAAGAGCTTGGTGGAGAAACCTCCGGACAGAGGCCGACAGCGAGCCTGATAGCTTGCTTCTCTAAAGCCGCTGTCTCCTCGTCGGCGTTCAACACCTGAAAGAAATCAAAAGGAAATTTCATTTTATATAAAAAATGGAAGTCGACGGCTTCAAAAAAGCTTTTCATATCATTATAGAGGATAAACAATTTAATTAAGACAAAGTTCACTCATTTCCAGCAAGTTATACAGACTTGTGAATCGTTTGAAATCACACTAGCCACTTTTTTGCCACATCGTCTGAGCAGGCAGTTCTTCCTCGTTATCTAAATACTCATGACAAATTTTTACATTTTTAGTGCAACAGACACTTCATTTCAAAGCACGTTAGACAATGTCTGTCATGAGTTTCAATTGGATTATATTTTTTTACAATTTTATTTTGAATAGAAATAAAGGCTCTAGAGCAAATTACAGCCTGAAAAGATATATAGAATTGTGTGACATGCTTTTTAACGCCAACCTTGTTAGGTTAGGGTTAGGGTATGAATAGAAATAGAAACTCTATAGCAAATTACAGGCGTAGCAGGGAGAGAAGAGCAGCCGTCAGGAGCAGGGCGGGGCGGGGGCGGCTGGTCCAGCTTCTGCTGCAGCTCAGCGCACTGCTCCCTCAGTTCCTCCACCTCAACAACATATACAGTCAACAAAATTTGTTCTGACAAATAAAAAATTTGTACTGATAATTAAAAAAAAATTTCTGAGAAATAAAAAATTTTTTCTGACGAATAAAAAATTTGTTCTGACAAATAAAAAATTTGTACTGACAATTAAAAAATTTGTACTGACAAATAAAAAATTTGTACTGACAAATAAAAAATTTGTACTGACAAATAAAAAATTTGTTCTGACAAATAAAAAATTTATACTGACAAATAAAAAATTTGTACTGACAATTAAAAAATTTGTACTGACAAATAAAAAATTTGTTCTGACAAATACAAAATTTGTACTGACAATTAAAAAATTTGTACTGACAAATAAAATATTTGTTCTGACAAATAAAAAATTTGTACTGACAAATAAAAAATTTGTTCTGATAAATAAAAAATTTGTACTGATAAATAAAAAATTTGTTCTGACAAATGAAAAATTTGTTCTGACAAATAAAAAATTTGTTCTAGCAAATAAAAAATTTGTTCTGACAAATAAAAAATTTGTTCTGACAAATAAAAAATTTGTTCTGACAAAATTGAGAATCGTTATTAGGTTTAAATGAGTCAAGGCTTGGAATTTAATGGATGAATACTTCTCTCTAAGTATATTCCAAGCGATGCGTTCATTAGGTTTGCGTATTTTTGAAAATGTAAATTCATTCATTCTAGTATATAATTTGTCATTCACAATGTGATCATTCTAACAAAGCACTAAGCAGAACAGCACCAAATATCATCAGAAACCATTCATACTTCTCACAGTAGCGACGATTTTTTTAGCCCAGTTGTATTAGCAAAGCAATCGACTGGCCATTGAAAACTTAAAAAAACTTAAACATGACAGAAGATCTTTCCAGATTAATTATCCAGCTAATTAATAATCAAACAATCTGCTCTGAAAAAAGCTGACTGTTATTATTAAGTAATAAGTATCAAGCAGCATAGTGTTAATGCCAACCTGTTCCTCCTTCCTCTGAAGCTCTTCAAAAAGTTGCTGTTTCGTCTCCGCCATGCTTAGCGCCGACGACTCGATGGTCTGCTTCAGCTGATCTAACTCTATTTGGTGTTCGTTCTGCTCGTGACAACACAGGCCGTAATTCCCTAACTTGCTGGATTACATTCATCATTTTATAATCTTATATAGGAATTATTTGAGGAACATGATGAGAAATAGGTAACTTCCTACAAAAAAATTCACAGTTTATAGCTGCCAACAAACTGAGTTAGATAAACACGAGATATTCGCAGATCCTCTGACAAAACGAAACTTGCTATTCACTTATGAAATGCCTGCAAAAATGCATTACTTGACAGCATTTTGCATATTTGGCATGCAATGAAAAATTACATCATTTATGATGTGCAGTGCTCTAGCATTACTGCATTAGCTGAGGTGAATGTTCTTTGATGCAGCATCCCTATAATCCATTACGTAGCTCTTAGGATGGAGCATTCCCATAATCCGTTAGTATTATAATGGATGGAGCATTCCTACAGGAATGAGCATTCCTATAATCCATTACAATGGAGCATTTCTACAATCCATTACGAAACATAAACGCGCACATCTCTGACATTGCCTTTGTTGGACGTCACATATTCTAGAGATCACATATTAATGAACTTTGTATATTTAAGACATGGCATATTTAGAAGACAGGCACCTGCACAGCGGCCAGCTTAGCAGCCAGGCCGTTCCTCTCAGCCGTGACGGCGGCCACCACGTCGCGCTTGTTTCTTATGTTCTCCATGCAGCGCGCCAGCAGCTGCTTCTGCTGACTCACTTCACCTGCAATTCGGACTTAATAAAATACAAGCAATTAAGTAATTAAAATTTATTATGAATTATAACTTTAAAGCCTCAGCACACTCGCTGCATAAGTACGCAGCAAAACGCTTTTGATACTGGCAATAAAAATTTCAAGAGATGCATCTCGTTTCAAAATCATACCTAGACCTCACCCACAACGTAAAAGCCCAAGACTTTAAACTTCTATTTGAATATTTTTAGTAAACTCCGTTCAGCAACTGCAAAAAGCTTCGAAACTTTCGAGTCACTTACCTTCAAGATTCTCAATGACTAGGAGCAACAACTTAGAACTAGAACTACGTCTCTAGGCTGTATTACTGTATCATTTAGTCATACACTTTACCTTACTTCAAGTCATTTCAGTGCTTATTATCTAGTAAGCCTTTATTATTTAGACATGAGTAGATAATACCTTTGAGTTTCTCAATAAGTTCTTCAGCCTGCAGCTGAGAGTATGTGCTGCCGGTCGTGGACACAGCAGCGCTCATCGATACGGACCCCAGCGATACGTTATCCACCTCCAAACATGTTGCTCTACGGTCCCCTCCTGAGTACAACATACCAAGGAAGCAAAGAATGGTCAATTCTCAAAACAATAAATATAATATTACAATGATAACAAAGCCCAGTCCAGAAAAAAACTACAAATGTACAGCTATGATTTCTGGGGCCATACTTTCAAAACTGGCTAAGTGAACGTAAGTACTTACGCTCTATTTTATTGTCAATGATTGGTGGATTTTGCTTGAAAGGCCGTCAATGATTGGCTGATGAACTTACGATCTCTTAACTGTTTTTAAAAGAGTGGCTTGAAAGGCCGTCAATGATTGGCTGATGAACTTACGATCTTTTAACTTTTGAAAGTATAGGTCCTGGAACATTATTGAGATTGCGTAACAAATGTCGCAGCTTAATAACAAAATCTTAGTAAACATTCCCATGCCGCATGCATAGAATTACACATATATCTTTGTTTTGAGACAAAAAATTACTACTAACAAGGTTTAAGAGAGTTATGCATTTTTCACAAATTTTGTTTGCAAATAAAACATGAACACTTCGATCATGTTTACTATTTTCATAATAGGTAGTTTTATTATGAGGATATAAAATGTAGGAACAGTGTAGAAGAATGAGGCACCAAATGTTAAGCGTAAAATTTTCCTTACCGCTGTAAGGAAAGAAACGGAAAAAAGTAAGTAATGAAAGAAATAAAGTAACACAAACTCACTGTCAATAAATTAAAAGAAAACATCCTAGTGTTTTCCTAGAAAAAATTGTTAACTAGACAACACTTTTCTTTCAAGGAAAGTTTACATAACAAAGATTATATTTCTTCACAAATACAAGTAGTGCCATCAGAGAAAGCAGCCAAGCACAATCATTACGACACCAAACTCCGTCGCTCAGCTCACCTTCATCATAAGCACCGGGGCCAGGAAATGAGGGATCGTCCCAGACGCCGGCAGCCACGCCGGAGTCATGGGAGCCCAGGGACTTGCAAGTGCCATCAGCCGCGTCCCCGCCGCGTCCCCCCGCTGAGTTCATCACTTCGTCGTATTTGTTGTTGTTGCTCGTGTCTTCTTCTCGGTGCAAGCCGTAGCCCTCTTGCAGGAGTCGCACCTGCGAACACAGCATCGTCGTTAATGAAGAAAAGAAAAAATTAAAATTGTTTCCTCAGGCTTGGAATTGCTTTGCATGAATTGCATTTTCATTTTTATAATTAGAAGAACATCAACTAAATATTCACATTACACAAGTATGGTATAGGTAATAAATAAATAAATAGTTTTTCCAATTTTTATACCCAAAGGCCCAGTATAAACTGAATGAAAAGCAATAGAAGAATAGCCTGTACAATATATACCTTAGTAAGAAGACTCTGAATTTTGTGGTCTTTTTCTTCCAAGTCACCACGAAGCTCTTCTTCAAGATGAGCCTTAGCCTGCGTTTCAAGAGCACACTGATCTCGAAGATCCGATATCTGACAAGTTAATAAAAACCATTAAAAAATTCTGAAGTCATTCGTGAACAGCATATCTTTTTGCAATCATAAGAGCACATATAAATCACTCATATTATTGATTGGTTTTGAGTGATGGCATCATTCAGTTTTTGCACAATCATTGTATGAAGAGGATATGTTTTTGTAATCAAATGCACGAGGGTTAATAACTCACCCGTCTCATTGTTTGGTCTTGAGTCTTGGCAAGAACGTCCCTGAGTTTCTCAGCTTCCCTCTCTTTCTCGCGGTACGCACGCACTACATCAGCATATCTGTCAAAAAATATTTTGCTGTAGAAAGGCTGCGAAAAAAACCTGATATTAACCAATATCTTGTTAGATTATACAATTTTACTTGATATGATTTTGTGTTTCAGTCAGAAAATACACAAATTTTCACAGAAAATAGTTTTTTAACATTTAAAATAGCAGAGCATTCAATTGATGGCATAGAAAATGAAAAAATAGATTATTGTAACTGAAATGATAGCTAATGACATTCATACCATAATGATTCTTCAAGTAACACAAACCAAGATCATCCAATTACAAACCTGCCCTTGTACTTGTGGTAACGTTGCCGCATTTTAGAATAGGCCTGGAAAAGCCTGTCTTTAGTAATACCATCAGCAGCATAGCTCTCCTCCCACTCACTGGCTGACTCCAGGTCACTCTGTTAAATTCAATGTTAGAAATTAGTCATGAAAACTCAATGCCTTCTTATTTTCTAAAGAAATCATTGATCTATTTCACCCCAAAAAAATATATAAATTCCATCAACAATTTTATGGCTCCTTTGAAATCTTCTCTAATCAAGTTTTATCAAAGTTAATTTAAATAAACAACATAGAAAAATTTAGTATTAGATAACAAATAGGTGGAATACCAAGCTTGTTAATTGACTTCAGAGGAGGGGACTGTGAAAAATATATTCATCACCAAAAAAATAGTAAAGAAATACAAGTGATTTAAAAAATAACCACACAAATGTCAAAAGCTTCTGGAACTTGTGTAAAACTTAAAGGAAATGATCTCATGTGAGATATTAGGCTAAGATCTTGAAGTCCGCAAAACAATTCACCAATGGAATGGTAAAGTTGGCACTTGGAACATCCCCCATAGGCAAGGGGCTGGAACAAGCAGGAATGTCAGAAGTGCTGGAGCCAACAGAACCTCTATGGAATCTTGCAGACACTGGAGGCCACCCTGCCGGGCTGTGACCAGCACTAGTGCTGTCCAACTGCACATCATGGAGGCCACCAGTGCGCTTTGGGTTCACGTTAACTCCAAAATCTGTAATAGAGTCATGATCAGCAGGAATTGCTAAATATAATAATGACCACTTGATAAAAAGGGGGAATTTCCTTCATGAAAATACGATTCAAATAATGAAAAAGTATAACTCAGTACTCACTGCAGTGAGTGACAGAGAGCGCATTTTCTTGTCCATGAAAAATTGAGGTCATGGACAGACGGACAGACAGACGGACGGAGAGACGGAAAGACAGACATGGCGAGCACAATAGTACATTTTTTCCATAAATGAGAAAATGCACTAAAAATAACAATATTTCAGGAAATATTTTTTTGGTGCTAACTTCTAGCCTATCTACTGTTATTGAGTTGCAAGTAATGGCATTGAGTTACTACACTCTGGCTCGGTCACAATTTGTGTTCCGAGTGTAAATACTATACTGGTAAATCAAGAAAATACTAGAGTACTTTTCTTAAGAATGCTTGAAACTCATGAACTTAACAATGATAAAACTTTAAATTGCTAAGGCAGGAAATTGAAAAAATATTACATGTAGAGTTTAAATGAATTACCTTTGGTTGGGCTTTCATCATCAATAGTGAAGAGATTAACATTATTGGCCGCTGCAGATGCATCTCGACCTGATAAATCCAACAAGCTCTGAAATAAAAAAACATTCAGTAAGATTTCTATTCAATTTATCAACTCTGGTGCGCATTAATTGGGAGTCTAATTTACATACAAGAATTTTATAAATCATAATAAGTAATCCAAAATTCTAACTGTCTATGCAGAACAACACTCATGATGCATCATGGGTATAACCAAGTTCCAACTTAAAAACTAATTTTAAGCTCAATTTCAACTAATTTAAATCTCTTTCTATTAATAAATGTCAAACCTGCTGAGTCAATTGCTGGACAGAAGCAGGAAGCTTCAAAGACTGCTGCTGAACTTCCTCAGAAATTCTATCGCGTAATTTCTTAAACATTTTTTAATCTATAATCTTACACTTTACCATCACTGGTAACAAAGAACAAATCATGTGAACCTATGAGAAATTATATATAACAATTATTAGTGTTAGGGCCATTAATTTGAATTTTATACTGAACTAAAATTTATCAGCACCACACCTACAAGGCTACAGTAGTATTTTATTCATGTCATACTTGTCTCTCATGATCATTTTTACTACCAAGTTGCTTGATTTGGGCATGAAGCCTGGAGCCTGGGGCTTGCTGTGATGAGGAGAAACTTTTTAGCAATATTAGGCTTTTCTACATTTACATACATATTCCCACAACTCAACTACCTGATGACCAAAATGAATTTCAGATGCTGTAAGAAAACTAAGAATGACTGAGGACAGTATAAGATCTAATAGGCATTAGGCAGAGCACACAGGTTACATAGGTATCAATTATATTATACCATATAATAAGTTATTTTATGGCTAAATATTATCATTAATATTATTATTACAATTTTTATCATTTTTATTATTTATAGAACTGGTTTGGTTTGTAATGAAATTTTCTTCCCTTATATAATTATGTAATAAGCAATTAACCATCAAAAGGTAGGCTAATATATATGAAAATGCCTATTTCAAATTTGATAGAACACAATAAAAAAATTAACTCCAATTCATTGCTACCTAGTAGCTCATCCTTCAATTAAATTATTCAAATACAGCAGCGCTGCAGCAGTTCATATATTACCCCTCCTAAATTTTTATTTATTTATTCTTTTTCATTATCATAATTACTGATCAAGAGTTTCAAGACTTAAGAACAGAATCAGTAGTTAGCTTACTTAGCTACCTAATTACTATTCATTCACTAACATTCAGAGTGATTTCAGACTTCAGTATTAGTAATCAGTATGGTTGTTTCACTTGTTTTGTAGAAACTAGAACTGGAATCAACAGTCTATTCGACCCAAAAATTTCTAGTCAAATTTAATCAAGATAAATGATTTAGGGTTATACCTAGGTACATTACCTAATTAATATACAAATCTTGTCAAATTCCATTGAGGTATTGATTTATATTTTTTGTATTTTATGAGTACGTAAAACTTTTTAATTATAAAAAAGGGTGAAATTTTGGCACATACATAGACTATGTTCTTGTATGTAACATAGTGCCTGACCGCCCTGACTGTGGTCTGTGGCCTGCCTGACATAGCTCGTACACGTCAGTCGACACTACACGTCGTACACGATACATTATGTATCGAAATTTCATATCCCAAGCATTACTCTACTGGCAAACAAAGTCTTCCAATGATTAATTGCCAAAATAGATTTCATTTCTTCGACCGATATCATCGAGATTGGCCACCACAGAGGCACACACGTCAACTCAAATGTCAGTGCCACTACTCACTACATTGCACATTCTACACACGGAGGCTCGGAGCCACACACATCATAAAAAAACTCCAACCTAATCATCCGCAAACTTGACGAAATTTTTGTTTCAGAAATACAAAAGTGTGGGGTGCACAATTTCACTCATGGTTGAACTAATACATGGTACTAATATTAGTTCATGAGACCTATCAAGTTCCGCCTTTGACGTCATAGATAAGTAAATTTTATAAATAATAATAATAGCGGTTTCAGCGTTTATTAGGCCATAGGCCTGTCGCCGATTCTTAACATCGCAATAACATCCACAGCTTGTTGCGGGCTTGAACTCGCAACTCGCTGCTACAATTCTGCTGAGCTCAACCGCCCGGCCTCCTTACCGATTCTGACCAGAAACTGACGCACATAGCTGGGATCGAACCCGCGCCTCTCTGCACCAATCTTGTACTCTGAACCACTGGGCCACCCTGCCCATTTTGGTTTTCAATCTATAGAAACTTACGATAATTAGAGTTTTTACGAATTTCGGCTATACTCACATATCTTATAGATATTTTTAAATTTCATGCCTTTATCTACAATCAATTTTCTAGCAATATTGTGTATGTTCAACCAAATTCAGTAATTATAAATAAAACAGGTAGCATACTCCGACATATACTCTTTATGTAATTTATATGTACATATACAAACATTCAGTGCAGGTGATTTTCTTATGATATAATATAATGTAGCGGTTTCAGCGTTTATTATGCCGTTGGCCTGTCGTCGATTATTAATATCGTAGAACATTTACAGCTTGCTGCGGTCTCGAACGCGCAACTCACTGCTCAAATTCTGCTGTGCTTAACCGCCCGGCCTCCTCGCCGATTCTGACCAGAAACTGGCGCATAGAGCTAGGATCGAACCCGCATGGTTGAGAGCAAATATGAGTTAGTGTTCAAACAACACAGTTAGACACAGCATTTGTGAATACTCGTCTCAACAACAGCACTGCAACCATAGCAGAGCTCCAAGAAAAAAAACAGTTCAGCGTCCTTATATTTTGACCAAGAATCTCTTTGCTTCCCGATTAACAGGGTATTCGTGTTGATGTTGCGTAGTAACGATGATCAGGAATATCATCAAAAGTCTAACCAAATCAATGATCGTAACCAAACTAAGTAAAAACATATGATAATCAGTAAAACGCCTTATTTTTGCTTTCTCTGCTGTGATTAATAATTCATAGTATTTGTGCCGATAAAAATAAGGGCATTTTCAGTAACAGCGTAAACCGTAAATGAAGGTTTCGTGACATGCTCACAGAAATGGCATGATAGGGTCCCAGAATTGCAGAAATTATCGAGACCTTGCAGCGCCGTGCTAACCTGCTAGTATAATATAAATCAGGCATAAATATTTAAAGTTTCATTCGCGATAAGTCAGCGGTGCATGATCTCCGTCCATTTATCATAATTTTTGTGCAGAAACGCGGGAGCGCAGTCGAAGATGACAAATTTTGAACATTGTGGTCTCCGACTGATAATTAATCCCAAGGACGGTTGCGTGTGAATCTAGGACCGTTCAGTTCAGATACTCAGCGATATCCTTATTTGGTTACAGAATGTGAAAATGATGCGAAAGATGAAGGCTGCTCATATGCAAGTCATGAATTTTCAGCACATGCTAAGCATGAGTTTTCTCCCACGGAAGCCTCACAGCTGCACCAGATATCAAAGCACAGTTTTGATTGTCAGCTCTAATCGTCGGAACATTGAGCCCTGCAACCATCAGTTATTCTTTGCCGTTCGCATTGTCAGGAAATGTTCAATTCTAGGCGTGTTCTGTCAAAAAATATTATTTCAATAAGTTAACCCTCTACCGCCGTATGTCACTCTCCGAGAACATAACTTTCAACTTAAATTACACGCTAACTATTTAGTGTGGGAAACTGAGGACGTTAAATTGTACGCAACAGAGAACATTTTAAAGTTATCGTACGTGGCGGCAACAATCAGTGCAAGTTATTTTGCGCTCACTAGAACGTATCCTTTTTGGGATGTAGGCTTGTGACAATATTGCTCCGGTTACTCATGGCAGGCGGTAGAGGGGTTGATAGCATTTTCAATTTGGAGTGATCTAACAATTAAAACACTCGAGAAAAATGGATACGATCGGAATTTACCGTGTGGCTGACACGAAACTAGTATTTCATCAATGCTAACTTTATACAAAGGGCAAATTAGTTAAGGCGAAAAGAAAGTACTTTTCATTTTCTGTGTCTGCTCGCCGCTAGAACATCATCCCTTACCATTACTAACTTCTTTAATCATAGTAGGATTTTGAAAAAACATTAAATCGGTCCTCCGAAATGAGTTAACGTGTACATTTATTATGAGAAAATACCTATAAAACGTTATATCATTAACATTTATTTAGGGCTTGTTGTTAAATATTGATCATCAAGCCAACTCCACTTTATAAAACAATGCCATTAAAATTATTATTGATATAGCGAGGACGTCATTATATAATTGGATGTGAAATGGACTTGATTGCTAGAAGGAACTATTTTTTTACATTTAACTCCGTTTGGCTGCTTATTTCAAAACTCATGCAAAGGGAAACTAAGAGAAACGTAAAGCCTGAGTTAATATTAGGAGGAAAACTTGTCAGTTTATGGATGGTGGAGGTTGGGTGAATATGTTCATGAGACAGAGGGCTGTGCGTGGCGACAGGTTGCTCTATGAGTGACTTATGTTTTTTATAATATCCACCATAAAATTCACACTTTTATTTTTTCTATGTAAGCCAATACCAGTCGATTGGAATAATGTGGATCAAAGGAATTGTCATCCTCTGTACTCTTGCGTTTTCACACGGTAAGTGAATAAGATTTAGTTTCCTCGATGTGATATCACTTATTTGGATCAAGCCGCTGTATAAGCCTCGAGAAGCCTCGTAAAAATGCAATTTTGACGTACATTTGTATGTGTCAATAATAAGCACCTTCAATTAAGATTATTGTAGGCTTCAATCAAGAAAACCGAGTTCTACCTGTGACCAGAAATATTCATACACTGTGACCGATTTCTACCATCAACTACGTAGATAGTTATAGCAGGAAAGCTCCGGCATCCCAACGTATAAGCCATGCATTTGGATCTTGCGAACATTCGAACAAATATGTCATATTGACGATACAAAGGCCAGCAGGGATGACATGAGAGATATTGTCGTGCAGATGGCCTGTGAAGACAACACACAGTGCTTCACTTCAGCTCGATAAAAAAAATCGGCAACCATGGGGAAGAATTCTCAGCCCGCTTGGCCGTGAAATGTTTCATTGGATTTAACATTCATGATTAGAAAGTGATGATTGACATTAAGTTGCAATCAATTATAATTACATAACATTACTTAACATAACATTACATTGCTAGGAAATACGATTAAACGTTATTCGATGCATATCAAATGTTTTTTAATAATGACCACGAAGTAAACGAGGTCATAATTTCTTTGCAGCTCTGATCCCGCCAACCGAGGAACCTGATGCGTTCACCTTACAGCCGCCCTATCTTTACGAAGGAGGAGCCCGTTGCAGTGTGGACATAGGGTTGGTAGTCTTAGGACTTAGGTTGTCAAATACATGATTAAGTATAATCATTATAGCCTACTGGCTTACGTTCCGAATAAGACTAGAAATGTTGTAGCTCGAATGATTTTCACTACGATCCAGCGTGTCGTAGTATAAATTCTGTAGGCTGATTGGCGGGTATATAACTTCAAGCTCTCATATATACGAATGAAAATCTTCTCTTTACGCAATACGCATAACTCTCTGCTTCTACCTTCCAGCAAAGGAACGCTAATAGTGAAGAAAATTTTCATATTACTTCGCGTTTTAGGGCTAACACAAGCTGGGCTCTGTCACAGGAGTACACGATTTCATCACGTCGTTTTACCTGCTGATTTATCTTACGCTTGTAGCTGCCTGACGCTCACGAATTCGTCAAGCGTTTCGGGCACGGATGGCATTGGTCAGTACGTTGGCATCTTCAACACCCACAGTACTCCACTGGGTACCAGGATGACCACCCTAGCGAAGGTCTATGACGATTTGGACGTCACGGTCTATGAGACCAGCTTCCCGGACGGTCTTGAAGGTGCTGTTCTGCATGCGAAAACCGTTTTCTGACCAAGAAATATAAATACTTTCTCTGGTTACTCATTTGTCAGAACAGTATTTAAATAGTCCTGATACAATAATCCTCACATTTAATTTTCATGATGCTTTCCACTCGACCGACGATTTATTAATCCTTTGTGTAGTGACCAGACCCCTCGGTCTCAGGTCTTTATGTACGAATAGCATTGACGACGGTTAATGTATTCGTAGACTATGGTTTAAAGTGTGTACATGGTGGACTCATGTAATATTGCATTTCATAGACTCGTGTAATTTTGGCACAGGTTGTTCCATGGGTGACAGAAATGGCGTGTGCACGGGCTACCCGGTGTTCAACCTCGTGAACGCCGCGTCCAACACTGTCTTCCGTTACGTCACGCCAGGGGATAGCATGACTGGCTGGAACCTCTACTCGCAGGGAAGGTCGGTACCAACTTAACCCTCGGTCACTCTCTGGAAACACAACTTTTAACTTAAATTATACGTAAACTACTGAGTGTAGCAACCTGAGGACGTTTGTACGCAACATAGAACATTTTAAAGTTATTGTGCGTGGCGGCAACCATCAATGCAAGTCATTTTGCGCTCACTAGAACGTATCCTTTTTGAGAAGTAGGCTTGTGACAATATTGCTCCAGTTACTCATGTCAAGCGGTAGAGGGTTAAGTTGTTCGTGTATTGCTGTCGTAATTTATTACTTTTTCTCAAACATAATATTCTGTTCACCTGCAAATGAACGGAAAATACTTGTTATGAACACAAGGTGCAGGTATTGGAAAATGTGATCCCTAAATGCAAATTTGCAAATTGTAACCCTCTCAGCCAAGTTCACTTTGGAACATGACTCCAATGTATTTAAACTCACGCCACCTCAGCCTGCTTGACACTGAGTTAGTCACGCTATTGTATTGCTTCGTTCAAAGATTTGCAGAGTACAGGGATATTATAAATAAGAGACACAAGTTAAAAATTCTTATTTTTAAATATGAATTCACAATGAATAATTTATACACCAATGGAAAGAAATAAATTAAAAGTTATTTTTAGAAATTTATAAATGTTCAATATATCCCCCTCGTGCTGCACGGCAAACATCTAAACGGTAGTCAAACTCGTACGTCTCACATACGAGGAAGCATAACTTCTGCGTGAACAGAGCTGTTGTTAGAGGCGGGACGTGAACAGAGCTTCTGGTATAGAGGCGGGACGTGAACAGAGTTGCTGGTAAAGACGGGACGTAAACAGCTTCCTTGACGTAGCCCCATAAGAAATAGTCACATGGGGTGAGATAAGGTGATTTCGGTAGCCAGAACCCAGAAGTGTAGAGCCAGATCTTCATTTCCTATGCGTCCTAACTAACGCACAGGAGGCAACGCTCAACGCTGTAAAATTATTCATTTGTAATTTGTACTTAAATAAATACAAATTTGTCACATTGGGTATATCATTTATAATAACCCTGTACATACATCGCAAAATTTTTCCGTTGCCTTGCAAGTCTTATGAATTTAACTCTACGTCTTTTGCTCATCATATTTCAGTTTCTGGTCATCATACCGTCAGTTTCGGTCAGGGGAGATGGGAGGCATCGCAGGTTTCATCATCCCGGACTCGTACAGTGTTGTGATGTCAGCACTCCAACATCCTATGGCCGTTAACAACTGGTTGGATGTTAATGGGACTTCGGCGTCTCTCCACTACGGGGTCAGCACAATATATAGATACCAGCGGGACATTTCATCTCAATTGAAACGATGAAATAATTACAAACATTGCATTGTAAATGAGAGTAATTTAGTATCTCTTCTTAATTATAATTTCATTATCTTACTTGAATTACATATTTGATTAGTCAAGAAGCCACAACTACAGTATTTAAAATTTAATTTAATTGCCTATAATGGGATTCGGTCATCATAACCTTTTCCTTTACACATAGCCTAGACACTGCCTAGTTATTATTATTATTCCGAGAATGAATAGAAGCGCATGCTCTTACTTCAACCGTACTCGTGTTTCACACCAAGTTTTACCATCGCGCAGGTGCAAGGCCTTGCCGACTCGATTCCCGCCGGCTACAGCATAAGCGTCATCGCTGTGACAGGCCGCAGAGAAAGTAGCACCAGCTTCGTCTCTACCGTCCTGAGTGAGACGCTTCTATGTTTATTTACCTTCATTACCTTAAATTTATTTTGATTTCTACTGGGCATATAAATTTCCAGCAAAAAATACGATAAAGAACGCATGCTGACCCAGTGGTTACATTTAAGAGCACCAGGATTGTAGTGGGTTCGATGCCAGCTATCTGCAACAATTCAGGTTAAAATCGGCTCGGTGGCCGGGCGGTTAAGCACAGCAAAATTGGAGCATTGAATCGAGTTTTACAGACAAGCGACAAGCAGTGAAAATTCTATGATGTTCAGAATAAGCGACAGGTCTGAAGGCCTAATCAACGTTGACACCGCCATTGACATAATGTTAGTCTTCCAAGCCACTAGTTTTCTTCATAGTGATTTTCAACTAGCATTCGAACATCAATTTGTAGTGTACGCTTAATTTAGTCAAATATATAATAAGAATATGTAGAAAACATACAACTTACTTTTAATCAGTTTAGCATGAAACTTTACTCACCTCGTATGGCTACTAATAATTCTTTGGTAATTTGATATTCTTAATGTAAATGTGATGATGTGATAGTAAGTAGTTAGTAAATCTAGGTTTCGTTTAGTATAAGCTTTAAACGAAATTGATAGTTAATGTAATGTGATTCACGTATGGAAGATGATACTGTGGCTATAAAAACCTTCATAAAAGGAGCCATCATTCCATTCACTTTGTTCGGATACAATGACACTGAAAGCCATGCATACCTAACTAACCTAACCCTCATTCGACCTCCGCACCGCCTGACAGAGTGGGGGCAAAGTGTACAGATGAAGAACGATGTCGTCAAGATACCTGACTACACCACCGAGTATCTCGGTTACTGGACGGATAATGGTGCTTACTATTACTATAACAACGACCACTTCGAAGACTACGAAAAACTCATAACAAGCCTTAACCATTTCACAATTACGCAACAAATACCCATCAGGTACATACGGGTCACGATACGCCTCACTGTTAAATTGTTTCGTTTCTGTTATATAATTTAGTATAATGATGAAGTTATACATACATATAGTATATAATATAGTTATATATAATATATATAGTATAATATCGAAGCTATAATATTTCTGCACACTTAACTTCGTGGAACGTGATTTTCCTTTCGAAAGGCATAGTGAAATTCTACAACGCTGTGCGCTCGTTATTTGAGGATGTTCTTAATTTTTAATCAAAAATAACCCTCAACTCTTGGCACTTGACTGCAATCGTCAAAAGAATGTCATTCTATTTAACAGGTACATCCAACTGGATTCGTGGTGGTATTACAAAGGTGTTGATAATGGCGTCAAGAACTGGACAGCGAGACCCGATATATTTCCGCACGGCATCGCGCCGGTACATAATGCTACTGGGTGGCCCATTCTCGCGCACAACAGATACTTTTCAAGCGACAATGTCTACGCATCACAAAACGGAGGTAAAAATAAAAGCAAAACGTACACTTCTTCTGATAAAATTAATTTTTTTAGTTATGCATTAATTGCGTATATTTTGTTGCCCACAGGGAACTATCCTTTCTTCATAGACGAAGAAAACAAAAAGGCTGTGCCTCTGGACAAGCACTTTTGGGATGATCTCTTTGACGAAGCACGACAGTGGGGACTAAGTGTCTACGAGCAAGATTGGCTGGATCGCGAATACGAGGGCGTCAGGTTCGGGTCCTACATTTAACATTTCAATACTGGATAAAATAGTTCCTGCTGTTTATTGCGTTGAAGTTATAAGCTATTTAAATGCGTTTTCAATAACATGATCAAAAATTCATTAGCATGAGCAGAAGAAGAGAAATCTTGTCATCCAGTTGAACGGTCGGGTGGTGTCACATCTCGACCTCAAACAAAATTTTCGCATTTTGTACCTCTGAAAATTAATAGAGATCAGTATTTTATCAACGACAACTTCATCAATTTGATATGGAACTGTATCCCGTGAAATATTAACCCGAAACCAAACTGTTAGAGGTGTTCATTAGAAATATACAAAATAAAAATAGTTACATGTGTGCAGTTTAGAATAGTCTCCGCCTTTTGCATGATGTATTCCTGCAAATTTTGTTAATTGTCTTAAATTCTATTAAATTACCGAAAATTTTAGCGCTATATGGACAAAGATCCGCAATTTTCTGAGTAATCATCACTTCCGAGCAGTGCTCTGCACACCAACATAACACTGGGTGACGACTGGCTTCACAACATGGCGTCGTCTGCAGCGCAGCGTAACATCGCTGTGCAATATTGCATGTCTTTGCCGCGAGAAGCTCTGCACGGCGCTGCTGAGGAAGCTGTCACGCAAATACGCGTCAGCGATGACTATCATTTGGCAACGGTGGGTAAAATGAAAAATTCGAGTCTTTGTGTCTAAATTTTTCAATCAAAGCCCGCGGTTTTCGTCAATGATTCAACTCGCACTTTGAAAGCGGTGTATACCTATCATTCTATGTTATTTGGACGGCAATGATTCTCAGACATGATGAGAATAGTCTTGACTCCTAACTTCCTTCCCCGCATGAAAAATATGCTTAATACAATGACAAAAATAACTGCAAAATAAATATTCACTATATACTATATATGTTTCCACTGTACAATACAAATTTCTTCCAAAGAACCAATGGAGGATCGGCCACACATCCCTGTTTGCCCACGCTCTTGGGCTGAAGCCGTATAAGGACGTCTTCTGGACCACCGAGCTGAACAACAACAACCCCTTCACCTGGTGCCAGGTCTTCCAGCCCACGCTCCAGGGAATCACTACGAACTACGTCGGACATATTAATGTTACTGGTAGGTATAACATCAAGATATTAATGTTCCTTGGTACCTAAATAGTAATGTTAATAAAAAATATTAATTTTGTAAAGATTAATGTTGATATTAATGTTATTATTAATGTTGTTAATGGTAAATATTATGTTGACGTTGTTCATGCGTAATAATCTACTCACGGAATCGCATCTGCCTAATGCTGGCACTTTAGTAATTGATTCAAATCAATAATTCCTGACTTCGACATTATTCAGTTGGTCATCGTTAAAATCCTGTGCATTAAGCCTTCGATCAGAAACAAGAATTAAAAAAAAAAAATGCTTCGTAATTTAAAAATGTGTCAAAATGTGTTCAACTATCGGAAGGTGCTCTAACCATCATCATCACCTAAGCTTTCTTTAATTCAGTATATTTCTGAAATTTCAGTTATGTTTAACAGAGTCGGGAGTGCCGTGCGTTTACTGGGATTCTATCGACTTCCGGGCACAATATCCTACCTACTCGTTGCCTGAGAACTTCTGCCGCAACCCTGGCATGTTGCATGACCGAGCCTTCTGCTTCACCAATGCTTCTCTTGGTGAGAGGGTCAATTCAATTATCAAAATATATCAAAATGATCACAAATTAATTTCATCGAGGGTGCATAATAACGAAATTGATTGATCAGTAGGTATAACAATTTATTTTTTATATATTCAGACTATCCCGAGGAATTGTGGACATGGGAATATTGTGACGTGCCCACATGCGAGACGGATTGCTACGTTAGAGAAGGCCGCTACTACATCGGCAACCAGAGCGTCACTGAAAACGGGCACAACTGCGTCGACTGGAACGGATATTTTGGCCTCACCGGTGCTCGATGCCGCAATCCAGACGGCACGGAAGATAGGCCATGGTGCTTCATTACTGAGGACTATACCGCCATTGATTTCTGTGACAACAAGTGCCCGGAAGCGGAAGAGTATAGTCCTGATTTGCAGTCCGCTGTTGCTACCTTGAGCGCTGGACCTGTAGGAATAGGCGACAAGATGGAAAACATTAACCGGAGTTTGGTTTTCAAATCATGCCGCTCTGATGGGAAGCTTCTTCAACCTGGCAAACCACTCACAGCCATCGATATGTACTTCCTTTCTGATTCAAGACCGAATATCTGGACCTCGGAGACAACCATTTCTTCCAAGTACACTTTCGGGCTAATTTTTATTGCAGAAGTTTCCCAACGTTACTCACTGTCCGCAAGTGAGTTAAATCTCGAGAAATCTTTGTCAGGTACTACCCTTCTTTGGTATAACTACCCATACATTGATCAACTCACCATATATCCTTCCAATACGGACATCGAAACGCCCAAAACCGGAGGATTCCGGAACTTTGTTATACTGGCAACCTCGCCGATTTTTGAAATAAATGGTGATACATACGCTATCTTGGGGGAAGTTGATAAATGGGCTCATGTGTCTTCTACTCGGATCACGGACATTACTATCGAGGAACAGGCTTTCCTGGTCAGGATCGATAAGTACTCAGATGAATCTGTGTACATGCGCTTCTACAAAAACGGATTCATTTTTGAAATTGCTTGTTCTCTTAATAACAATCTCATAGACGTCATTGCGAGGACTTGCTCCTAATGGTGACATGTGGAGCGGCGTTTATAAGGTTCATTTTAGCGTCAAATTGCAGTAAGAAAATGCATCATGTCAAAGTTCTTGAATACAAATAATTCTGCTTTCAAATGCTTTTAACAGCAGAGAATTATGAACATAACAGATAAGTATTTGAAATTTTAACCGGCTCCATTTGTTTGACCATTTATTTTCATTTTCAATCTTTTTAATAAACTATTATGGCTATAAATTCCCATATTTGTAGTCATTTATTTCCTATCGTTTTGTTGAAGCTAGCCTATGTCAGGGCAGTGATGCCAAAACCATCTATTTGCAGATAACAATCTCCATGTATACTGTATATGCCATGCTGGCATATAAAATTGTGCAATTAGTTCAAAAATGTATTTGTTCTGAATTGTTGATAATGTAGACACTTTATACCACAAAAATAAAGAAAAGCCTTGTTCGTCATTATTTAATCAATCTAATGAAGCAGTTTTGGGGATTGTGGTTTTGCATTTTATGCAAATTATGGCGTCTGATAACCCATTGTTCGTTCGGAAAACGGACTTCTTAAAAAAAGGCCACTCACATCACAGGCCTTTCCGTTATGATATGTATAAACTGAAATGTTTTTGGTGTCTGCATGATAAAAGGAAAAGATTGATCCTGTGAAGGACCAATTTTAATAGGCTCCTGAGTTTCATCCTTCAATTTATTTGGCACGTATTACGATCATCATTCGTTCCTTAGAAAATAAATTTTGCGAGCAAATTTTTTATATGATCAGTGAAAGTAGCCAGGCCAACGAAAGATGAATTATAACATAGTGACGTGAGGTCGGCGCTGAAGAGTAGGCCTGATGTGGCTTGTCACCGATTCTTTTACTTTTCGGACTTGTTCACAGAAGATCTAAAATCGTGTCATTTGACCGGATCTTTTCAGGACTGACGATAGTTTGAAATAGCTACTAGACTTCCACCGGGTTCGATATGGTGCTAGGCATTTCAAGTCTGAACATATATTTTTCCATTGCATTATCTAGTCTGTTCTTGAACGTGTTCATACTCGGAGCGCCAACGATGTTATTGGGGAGGCTGTTCAACATGTCGGTGATTCGAAGCGAGAAGAAATTTTGTCGCGTGGAGAAGTAGCAGCGCAGTTTTTTAGTTTATGGCCGTGGCCTCTGGTGTTGGCTCTTGTTTCAAATTTTAGTAATCTTTCGGGGACCTTGTATAAACCATGAGTATACAAGTATACTTCAATGAGGTCCCCACGCAGACGTCGATAACTGAGGCTTGGAAGCTTCATAATCTTTAATCATTTTTCATAGGACTCGCCCTCCATGCCTGGAATTATCCTTGTTGCACGTCTTCGAACATTCTCTTTATAAAATTTGCGTCCTTTTCAAATCTCGGTGACCACACAACGTTTCCAAACTCTAGATTCGGGCGCACGACAGCAACAAACAACTGCTTCATCGCTTCTGCATCTAGGAACACGTATGAGCGTCTGATTAGTCCAAGAAGTTTGTTGGATGTGTTAGCTTGCGTTTCAACATGCTTAGAAAATTTCAGCTCCTTGTCGACATTAACTCTGAGATCTTTTTCCACACTAGACTTTTCAATCATTACTCTCTCGTTGCAACCATATCTTCTCATACTGTAATCTTGCTGTTGAAGTACATGTGAAGTACTTTACACATGTCAGCATTAAATCGCAGCTGCCACGTATCAGCCCAGTTAACTAAACTGTCAAGATCATCTTGCAATTGCGCTTTATTTGACGCATCCTTCACAGTATGATCAACTTTTGTGTCGTCGGCATACACGTAGCACACGCTCGACACTACTTCTGGCAGATCGTTTATGAAAGCGTCGAACACAATATGCCCATGAACGCTTCCTTGTGGCACGCCACTGTGCACTGATGCCCAGTCTGACATGGTGTTATATGACTGCGCCGTTATTTGGTATGCTTAATTAAAAGGTGACGATATTATTAAAAATAATATTAAATGGGCAGGGTGGCCCCGTGGAAAGTTCAAAGTACCAAGATTAGAGCAGAAAGGCGCGGGTCCGATCCCAGCTCTGTGCGCCAGTTTCTGGTCAGAATCGGCGAGGAGGCCGCGCGGTTAACGGGAGTCTACCCTTGAAATAGAAATTTTCAGCTTTTCCGCTGTTTAGGCTCATCTTAAAGCTTACTTTATGCCGCATCGAACGGTACTAGAACCATCTCTGTACGTTGATTTATGCGTTCAGGGTAGATCCCGAAAGGGGGGAGGGTGGTGGGGTCCCTTCACAAAAGTCTATGGGGATAATTACGGTCAAGCCCTATAAAATGGGCTATCACTGAACCTACAGCTCGAGCTCAGTTACCCGACAGATATCATGTGGGTAGGTGTGATGCAGTTGCCCTATGCTCCGCTGACTGACTTTGAAGTGAGATAACGCTTACTTTCGGTATCTAAGCTACGTTACATGCCTTTACATAGCGCGCCGCGGTTTTTCGCCTCTACTGAACAATATGAAAACCTCTCTCACGGTAAATCTATCTTTCTCCTCCTACAGTTTTCAAGCTACAAGAATGAGACATATACCATTCGATGCGCAAAAAAAAGATATACAGGGTGATTTAGGCGTTTTTTCTAATTTCGTTATTGTTTGGATTTATTCTGAAAAAATGGGGGGTGTGGCGGGAGAAAAATCGAAAAATTTACAAAAAATGCCGCCACTTCCACAAAAATCGGAATTTCAAAAAACGCCTACATTATTTTATAGGGAAAGACTTTATGCATCGAATGATATGTGCTTCAATGTCGTAGCTTGAAAATCCTAAGAGGAGATAGATTTCAAAAGTACCCCCTTTTTGGCCGTTTTCTAAGAATTTCACGTGTTCTTTCATTTTTCCCAAAATTCACATGAACAAAATGCGAGTTTTTTCCATTTTACATATTTGTATTAAGTTTCAGAGTGAAACGCCTGTAAATGGCCAAGATAAATTTTAGGTTAGATGCATTCCTTAAGGGAAGAAAATTTGAAGTAGTGAGTTGCGAGTTCGAGCCCTCAACAAGCACTGGATGTTCTGCAATCTTAAGAATCGGCGACAGGCCTACGGCCTAATGAGCGCTGAAACCGCTATATGATTATACTATATTATTAATTGCATGACCGTGCGTTTTAAACGGAATTGGGGATTTGTATCGCTGAGTTTGAATATGAAACCCAAATTACCGCGATGAGAGACTTCTACATAACCCGATTGCTTAAGCGCGTTTCTTTGCATTGACTGCAAATTCTGATATCACACACAAGGAAATCATGACTTCTCCCTGAAGCGAAACTTATTGAGCGAATCTCAAGATAGCCTAACCGAGGTTATTGCGAGCTGCTTACACCAGAGGTAATCAATGTTTAAATAAACTCTAATTAGGTGACCCATTAGTTTGCAAAACCTTGCATCGTTGTTAGTTGGTGCTTTTGAAAACGAATATATTATGAGTGACAACCTCATTGAGGTTATATATTCGTTACAGTAGGCCAGTTATTCCTTAAGTTTTATTTATAATTCTTCACTTAGTAACAACGGGAATTTTTACGATTCATCCGTTCTGCGGTAGTAAAAAAATTCCAGCAAGTTGCTTGTCAGTTACATCACACTAGTACAGAGTACCAAGATATTTTAAAAAATTGTTCAGGTAAAATAAGAATTATTCCTAAGGAAAGTTGAGACTTAAATCAACATGAATTTAAATCAATATCATCATATAACTCGGAGTTCAATGCAAATGTACTCTCAAAATGCGAATGAAAAAGAATTTGTAAATACAGTAGATAAATATGAGGAAGAAAGAGAAACTGTTATTTCTACCGAATCGACACTTCTCCGGACCCACGTTCAACTTAATTAACCACTCATAAGTCCTTCAATGCTGAACGGATTTGCTTGAACTTCATTAATAGCTGCAGTGAGATCATTTCGCACCATATAACTCCTTGAAACTTGGGGCTGCCACTCGGAAATCTTGCTCAATGTTGAGCAGAGACCTGCAGTTAGGTTTTGCACATTGGGTTTTGCAGGCGCCACACCTGAGATGTCTGTCTAACGGAACTACGAGGAAGCAGCGCCCACAAAGCTCTTGCGCTATGAGCAAACACTGCAAATGCAAGCTGACACAGAATTTTTTCAATGCATTCACCTGGGAATAAACTTAGAGATACCCTACAGTCATATGTCACTTTATTAGCGCAGCAAAAATGAGCAGGTAATGCAAATGGAATAAACGAATGCAAGCAATTAATTAGACTACATAGTGAACGCAGTATACGTCATCTGCAGCTATAGAATATTTGTAATTGTTTATGCCCTGGTACCAATCGAAACCATGACTTTTCAAGCATAGACTCTAATTCCAAAATAGTAATACAAAATCTAAAACTTGTGCGAGTACCTGAACATATCGCTGAGATTATCCAATTTCAAGGGCAATTTGTAATCTGCTCCGAACAAAATTCCGAAACATTCATTGTATTGTTCTTAACTATTCATCGTGACAATAAAAGCAACATTCTAATAATATATGTTTAAAAATTAATTTTTCAAGACACTTGTAAAAAATACAGTGTCTCCGATGTGACACATCTACAATGAATTTCTAACCTTATTTCAATATATTAAAAAATTGATTTTTAATATTTTTAATATATGAAAAAAAATAAATTAAATTTCCAAAATTATTTAATGTGTCGATTGCTTCATGCATTTTCTCCGACTTTACTTAAGTGTGCAAAATTTCAGATCGATTGAACAGGTAGAAATGGGCTGAATACCTATCTATTATAAGATTTATAGAAGACAAAATTATTTAACAAATTTTTTAAATTAATTTCTTTTAATTTTCAAAATTATTTATTCTGTCAATTGATTCATGCATTGTCTCCGACTTTACACATGTGTGCAAAATTTCAGATCGATTGTAGAGGTAGAAGTGTGTTAAATATCGATCAAAAGATTTGTAGAAGACAGACAAACTAACAATAAGTAAAGTTAAAGTGAAGTGTTGTAAAAAAGCACGTTCACAATAAATAACGTAAGTTAGCAGCATTCAGGCATTCAAGTGCAAGAGGTATTGTAGACAACGTTCGAGCCTGAACAATGCGTATTCAGTGTATGCGAATTTAAAAGAAGAAAAACGTATTATCTTCCAAATATAATCAAATGGCGATCCCGCGGTTGGCTCTTTCCCGAACTACGTATCCATAGTTCCGTATACGAGTGTCCTTTGAGTCACGCTTGAAGCAAGGCTGCGCATGACTCATGATGTGAATCCGACGGATGAGTGCTTGCGGTTAACCAGTAGTCGTGATGGAAGTTAGCTCTGCAAATTCACAACATTCGTCAACGTTACATTATCAATAGAAACGCAGTGCGACTGTGAACTCAGTCTTAACTCAAGCCCACCTCACTGCTTCAACCCCTATCCGAACTCCTCACTCCGTGAATGTCTTCGGAACAACGAGCTTTGCGAACCTAATCCAGTTATGATCTTTTGAGCGCGTGATCAACTAATGCCTTCGCTTCCATTTAAA